TTAGTAGTACTAGAAACAGACATTTAGGAGTTAAAGTTTTAAAAAATATTTGCTTTGAATAACTGGCCATGATTTTCACAAGTAAATAACTGAAATATATTCAATATCACTATCCAATAAAAATTCTATATTATATTATTGATAGTGTTATGGAGTACTTATAAATTATAATGTACCCCCACATAATAGATTACAATGGATCCGTTAAAAATAATTCAAAAGGCTAGAGAAAATAACAAACTTGCAACATTAAAAACATTAGTGCTAGTTTATAAGAATATAAAAATTTATTTTTTATTTTTACATATGCAACAAATAAAAGCTAAGTAGTAAAAATATGTATATATAAATTATTGGTCTTTTTTTCCCATAAGATATAATTCTGAAAGTAAAATAAATAGATCAAGGGTTATGGATATTTTTATGCTATGTAAAGTATACATACTTATATTCTCATTTTTCAAAATTTTGCCCAAATTGCAAATAGTGATATATTTTTTATTTAAACAGAAGCTTATTTGATTACTGGTAGATTTAAATAAAGTTTTCTTATTTGTACTGTACACTGCATTTCTTTTGTTAGCTTTTTGGTATTTTTCTACATTTTCCCATTACTATGATGTATTATTTTAATTAATCTGTAAGAGCTTCTTTATTTATTAAGACTATTTACTTTTATCATATAAATGTAAACTTCCCATTTACATTTGTCCTTTCACTTTTGTTAATGTCGTTTTTGTTATTGTTGTTTATATATAGTATATAAAACCTTCATTTAGTCATGTATTTTACTTTATAGCTTCAGGCTTTGATGTTATGATTTAAATATCTTATATGAATACTAAATTTAATTTTCTTGAATTATGCTCTGCTTCATTTTTACCTATAAACTGTAATACATGTGATATTTACTTGGCGTGTTATAAAACAAGGACATGAATTAACTTCTTCCCAATGGCTACCCCACTTGGTAATCCCCAAACCATTTTTCAAATGGTAACTTCCTCTCCCATTTGATGAGAAAAGTTGTATTTATAATAATGACAAATACAAAGTCCAGCCTATTTAAAGACTGTCAATACCCTGTGTCTATTCTTATAACAGTACCCCATTCTCTTAACTATTTTAGTTCCCGTACTAATCCTTTCCCTAATTATAAATTGTTACGTGAAAAATATAATATACTTATAAGCTGACCTACACATTTACTTTCTACTTATTAATCCTACAGTGCAATAATTAACACGAAGCTTAACAGCTTCCAGAACAAATTACCTATAAAAGTTTCTTGGGTCTGGTTTCAGCATACATTTCATGGCTACCATCAATACCTAGCTTTTTAAAAAAATTGTTCAGCTTTCTCACTGACTGACTCATTTCATTAGCTTAACAAATATTTATGTGGTCTACTTCCCCGAGCCGGGCAAGGCGAAAGGCCCACCTTCTTGGAGTACACGTTTGCACAGTTAGACGAGGAAGTAGACTGCACAACCACAAGACGCGAGATAGCGAGGGCACTACCACAGAGAACAGGGTGGCTTGGGGGACGCCAGGGGCTCCCTGAGTCAGGAAGGCAGCTGTGAGGAGGGCGCCGGCAGCAGCTGCAGGGCGAGCGAGCAGCAACCACACACAGCACAGGGCAGAGAGCACGCCAACCACAAGGCACAGAACACGGGGCAGGCAAGTCCTGAACGGACGAGGAAAGAGCTGAAAGGCCCTCGGACCACAATGCCGTGAGCAAATGGAAGGAAAACCTCAGATAAAGCTGGAAAGGGAGTCAGCTGTCAGGGACCCAGGACCCATGTGATCGTTTACTCTAAATGCTACTAGAAAAATTTAAGTCAGAATGGGACATAATCTCATTCATAGTTTAAAACAAAATGTAGCAAAACTAAAAAAAAAAAATGAAGAGCAGTAAAAGAGGAGGTGAGAAAACCATTTTGAAGGCAATTGCAGTATTCAAGAAATCAGAACTAGAGCAGCCTTGCCACTCTAAGTTTGGATATTGCAACTTTATCCCACAATTACAGAAAGACTTTAGAAAGAAAAATTGTTTTATTATATGTTACATATTATAAAATACTTATTATATGAACATATGTTAAATACACATTATATTTCATTACATTACTTTTTAAATTATATGTTAGTGTTACTTTAACCTTGCTCATCAGTTAATACACTAAATGACTAGAGGCAAGTCCAACAAAGAAACGGGCAGTACTTGAAGAATATAAAAGAATACAAGAATATAAAATGGGCAGTATTGAAGAGGGGCTAAGACCTTGAAGTGAGGACTGTCAAAGACTGAAAAGAAGAGAGAGGCCACAGGGCCAGCTCAGAAATTTCTAAAAGGCTCAATAATGAGCTACAAGAAGGGAGTGAAGTGCGGAGGAGGTGAAGCTTCTCAAACTATCTGTGACAACAGAAATGCTCTAAAGTACACAGAATAAAAGCACAAGTGTTTTTATTATTTGACTCCATAGACACAAAACTACATCTCAGTAACTATAATCTGAACAAAGATAACATGGGAAAAAGAAAATAATTACAAAAACTGTTAATGTTGCACTGAAAGTGTATACACAAATGTTTTTACGTGTAACTTTTTTCATTACACATCTTAACAAGTTTTAAGCAATGAGTGATTCCCCAAATGAAATGACTATGTAAACATCTTAAACAAACACTGAGAATATAAATATTTAAAGTTTATAACATGACCTTGAGCTTTCTGCTTGTCAATCGGATCCAAGTTGAACCTGCAACAATGTCACTCAAGGGAGTAACACATAGCTCACCTGTTCTTATTTTAATAACATGCAGAGTGGAGAAAGCAGCACCACAGAGATAGGCTGATGGAATGAAAACTCAGGAGCTCAGAATGTTCATTTTAAACTTTTACCCAAAATGTAACTGGAAATGCTGTATCTTCAAAACATACCATCGATGTTCAATACCCAGTTCCAGTAATTCACCCTGCATAGTTATAATCAAATAGAAATCATTCCACTGAAAGAAACCGCTCCAGCTCCCTGAATTTCCTATGCATGAATCTTCTTTTAATGGAAAATAAAACACAAAACATTCTATTAAATACATAAAATGACAAGAGACAACTTTTCAAGGATGAGCAAAATCAAGGTTATTCTTATAGATCAAGATAGTTCATTGATAATTATTATTAAATATGTCAAGAAATTCTGACTTTCAAGATTTTAACTTTGATGTTTGTCCTCTGACACTTTCTGCCAGTAAAACACATCACAACCCTTCTTTGTTAGCAGCACTGCATTCATTATAAACACTTTACGTGTCTGACAGTGAAGCCAGCCCTATTAGTCTTTAAAAAGCAGGACCTAGCCAGGGTCTAGCCCTGTGAAAGGCGGGGACGTGCTGCTGCAGCGGCACAGCAGTGGCGGCGGCAGCGTCTTCCCCTCGATGTGCGCCGGCGGCAGTGGTGGCCTTGTACTCAGCGTCCACATCCTCACCAGGGGTAGAGAAGGGCGGCAAACCTACCCGACAACCTAGCAGCACTTCAGAATGCCGTCACACCGTGAGCCACCGTGCCGCCCAGCTAAACTGTCCTCGTAAGCACGCCGTCCTGATGAGAGAGCCGTGACTCACGTTCTGGAGCAGGAGGCCTAAGTGGAGTGCCTCCCAGTCGCTGTGGCTACGGCTTCAGCATGTTCTTCCATACGACACAGGTTCCAGAGGACACTGAATCTGACGTCATCTGAACCTTCTTACACAACCCAGAGCTGTATGTGTTTGTGAGGAATAAAGCTAAAATGATGTTTCCTTTACTTCATCATGTTTAAAGGCTGAATATTTATAACAAATATCTGTGCATTCACCAAGTTGTAACGAAGAGTCCACTGTTTTACTGGTTCCATCGATGGGGCTCTCACATCCTCAGCCAAAACAGGGAGGGGCGCGCTGCACCGTGGCGCACAGGGGTCGGTCCTGTGCGCGCTCTTCCACGCGCCTCCTGCGGTTGAAGGCGCGAGCCCCCTCCTGCAGACTTGGGCCGGGCAGTGCGTCCGCTCCCGCGGGACGGCAGACCTCCATCCCGGGCTCGCCACCCTCTTGGTCGGGGCCAGGGCCCTCTCCCGCCTCGTCTCTCTGCCTTTCTCTTCAGCAGCCAGCCAGCCGGCCAAGCCTGGCCTTCGCGGGCTGCCGGACAGCCCTCTTCTCCTAAAAGCAACTGTCCCGGGGACCATGTGGGGTGCGGGCCAGGGAAGGCCTAGCAGAGGCGGCAGGGTGCAGGAGGATACAGCCAGCTGTCTCCCTTTGTTCTGCAGAGACAATCTTCACGTTAATCTTACCCGGACATCATTTTGGCTATTTTAATCTTTCATCTTTGAAACCTTCAATTGGTTCTTTTTAAAAATGCTTCATTTTTCTCATTATGTTCAGTTTTTCATTCAGATTGAAAACACTTTGTACACACTTATGACAGCTGTGGGAATGTCCGTATCTAACAATCCCACCAGCTCTGCCCTTTCTCAGTCTGTACCTATGGACTTAAGTTTTCCTCCCGCTCCTGCATCACATCTTCCTGCTGCTTTGTCTGTTTCCGACTGGTAGTGGGCGCTTGGCCCGGCTGCTCCTTGGCTTGCCGGAGAACGAGAGCCGCGCGATGCCCTGACGGCACTGAGCCACGGGGCTGGCGTGAGCCTGGGGCGGCCTTGGTCTCAGGGCTCAGTCAGTGCCGCGCCTAAGCTGCGGCTCTTCCGCGTTCTCCAGCGAATGCTGCCGCTGCGCATGCTGCTATGCACAGAATCAGGCGTCCTTCATGGGCAGTCGGTACTTTAAAGGGTAATGGAACATAAATATAAGAGCTCTATTTTGCTCATTAGCCAGGTATAAATGCAACATATATCTCCATGAAACCTGAGATGTATACTTGTTTATAAAAAATAGCACTATGGATATTTATTATATGACATGAGAAAATAAGAATACCCAAACAGGTCAGGAGGTGAGGTCAGTATTACCTTTGTAAAATGAGTGGGCAAAGCTCTGCTCAGGAATTAACTTGGCAAGGAATCCGTGGTTCAAACTTGGATGAGGGAGAGATGGGATGACCACAACTGTGGAGAAAATCATGGAATCGGGTTTGAGCCAGCATGTAACAACCTGCAACACGGTCCGCTGACGGTGCGCGACATTTTTATATTACTGCAGCATGCAAACAGTGCTAGCGATAAAGGCCACGTCTCTGGGGGAAGGAAAGTGCTTCGTATTAAGAGAAAAGAGATAATATACTTGTAACTATTTCAGCAACAGACACAGAGACATACAAACACGTAAGGGAATCACAAGTACTTTTAGAGAACTGGCAATTCACTAATATATTGCTCATTCTATATATATAGGACTGACATGAATGTATTAAAATACAGAAAAGAGTTGTTTAAGATAATAAAGTCTTAGTGTTTTAAATGGTCAAAAGACATAAACTATAATGGTAGAATAATGTCTAATCTGAAGTCTAAAGTTAAAAGGGTATACTACAATGAAATACCATGTTTATGAGTTTCAAATTAAGACAGCATGCAGCAGCAAAGTCTTATAGCATCACCACGATCTGCATTTCCACAACGATAAAAGGTAAATGAGGTATGATGTGCTATGAAAAACAAGATGCAGAGATTTGGCCACTAATTTCTACCCACTTAAAAAAATATTCATTTTGTTTATTTTATTTATTTACATCCATTTTATTTACATAAACATTAATGTAGGAAAGATAATTTCAACTACAAATTAATCCAGTGGTACATGAAAGAAACTCTGGGGTTACCAAGGCTACTCTGCACAAAACAGAGAAACAACTCTGATATTGAACACCTGGCCTGAAATGCAACTCATGGAAGCCACCCCATGATATTAAGCTATTAGTTGCCAGCAAACGCACTGGTCATGTTCAGGGAGAGCAGACAGAGCTGATATCGTGAACTCCTCCTGCAGGAGTGTCTCCTGTACAGGAGCAGGACCGCGTGAGCTGAGACGGCCCATTATTGAATATAAGTCTTTGATTTTAGTTGAAGCTCTTTTGGTATAAAGTTTAGAATGTATGTTTGCTTATTATGAATCTCTGCTAGAATACTGAAATTAGATTTTTATATGTAACATTAATTATAGAATTTTAATGTTTAGATACTGAAATAATGACACAGCAAAGAAAGAGAGAGGAATGCTAGCTTTGAACTTGCCTATAAAGATTTATATTTTGGCTTAGTCTTGGTCTTGCACTACTCTACAAGGACCTCCTAATTCCATGTTTATAAAAATAAAAAATTAATAAATGTTAACTATATGAGTTATTTGCATATTAAATAGAACTGATTTGTATTAATAAATGTAAAACATTAAAACCAAAAATGCACTGAAAAATGAGAATATAGCAAATATTATGGAAATACCATTCACCCATTTTTGAGGAATTAAAGAATATTAAATTGGCCTTTACATATCACGTACTTAGAAATATGAATAGAACCAGCTTAGATCTGGATGAAAAAAATGAAATAAAAAAGGAGGTAAATGACAATGGAAATTCAAGTAACTACAACAATATGAAGTACCTGTACTCGTCGGTGAATTTATTTCTTGCCGGACGTTCCTGCCCGGCGGGCCTCCCGCCCGCGCCGTCTCGCGCTGGGGCTCCAGGATGTCTCGGTACTTGGAGACCATCAGCACGGAGATGAAGTAAACCACCGCCAGCGCCAAGAACTGCGCCTGCTTGCTGTCGTCCTGCGCAAAACGCAAAGGCAGGCTTACCATGCAAAAAGTTTAAAGTAAAAGTTCTTAGGATACAAGAAATTGTTTCCATTCCATTTTCTTTATAGAGGTCAACTATGACATTTAAGTTTTATGAAAACTTGAAAAGTGTATATTGTTATTCAGTAAGTATCATTTATGGATAAATATTGTACAAAACTCCAGGAATATATCATCCGAGTTATAGGTTGAAAGATAATTTCAAAAAGCAAGACTTAAAATTTTGTTGAATATGTCACACAATTTTATTCTTTACGCTTGTCACCATTATCATCCATTACTTCTAAAAGAGTATGTACATTAAAAAAATAAGCAGATGGCACAAGGGGGAAAAGAGTAATTTAATATCTCAATTACATGAACAGCTTCAAACGCTCTAAAATATTAATAGAGTAAAATGGTACTTGGGACCCAGACAATCCCGAGCTGTTACTATCTGAGCAGGAGACTGAAGGCAGGGGGGAGTGTCCAACCAGGCTCGTTCAGGCGCAGCAGGAGCCAGAAGGGGCACATGGGGCTTCAAGAACAGTGGCAGCACGTCCACCTGCGCAACTGTTTAAGCAGAAGCCACAATCCCGCCCCAGTCCGCTCTGAAAGCATCACCACCCCGTCACTGCCGGCACCTGAGGCTGCGACGGCAGCAGCTCGGGAACAAGCGGGGCTCTTGGGGGGAAGCCAGCAAAGGCGGGCCAGGCCTGAGTGATGGGTCTGCAAAGCAGCCTGCAGCCTATTGGAGGAGACGACTTTATCTGAGCGCTGGCCAGCACCTCGGACGACACATCCCACAAGCCCAGATAACCATCGTAGAGGGGAGAGTTGTCAAGGAGGCAAGTTTATACGACCTCTGAGACCACTTCCAAATTAGACCATATCTAAAGAGTCACATGTAAATGGTTATAAAGCTTTTTTCTAAGAAAAACGAAAGTGATATTTCAAAACTGCAATAACTGTGCCCCACAGATAACAGGTAAAAATTAGTGTCATAAAAATAAGAAAAACAAACATGCACTGAAGTCTAGTAACTCTGCTAATGGGCACTCCGTATTTATTACTTCATTTAAGTACAGTGTAAACAAAATCCAATATGGATGTGAAGGGGAGAGGATCAGCTGAAGAACCTGTATGCAGGACCCACGAGCACAGACAGCAGCGTGGTGCTGGCCAGAGGGAAGGGGCGGGGCTGAGTGGAGGTGGACGAAGGGGGAAAATGGGGACAACTGTAATAGTGTCCACAATAAAAAAATAAAAAATAAATTATGTGCATTTGTCAGAACAGACTGTAAACAAAAAATATTTACTGATGATTTAATACCATGAAACAAAATCAGTATAGCTAATGGAGAAAAAAACCAAAAAAGACAAATTTGTTCAGAAACAGGAATTTAGTATTTCATACTCTGTGGGTGACAACTTTTCTAGAGAGAATCTCTTACGAAGCATTTAAAATGTGTCCTCCTTGCGTTGCAATAACGAAGGAATAAACATACAGAAAAGGGGGCAAAGAGCCAACGCTTAAACGGTTACATAAAGGACACGAGTGCAGTCGGACGACACGAGATGCTGGCCACGAACACACGCAAAGGCAGCCCGGGCAGTGACAGACCGTCAGACCCCGCGGCACAGCCACGTCCACGCTGGGCACGTGGTACCAAGCAGGGAAAGGGCCTTCAGCGGGCGTCTGTGCAAGCGGGGGTGTCAAGGCCAGGCTGCAGGGCTGCAAATGCCAGGAGCTGCCGCCCAGCCAACAAGCATACCCCCCACGCACAGCACGCAAGGAGCTGCCTTGCCTTTCCTTTCCACATCCGGACCTGCACACTAACTGCACTGCTTATTCCCAGTTCTGTCTTTGAGAAAGAATAACCATTTACTTTGAGGTTGAACATCTGGAGAATGACTAAAGTTTCATACAGATTAATTGACTTTCTTAGGTATTTTACTGTTATGAAGACATGAACTTTATTATGTTTCTCCCATCTGCTTCAGAAATGGGGTTCCCCACTATTCAATCTTGCATCAGTAATATAATTAACTCTGAAATCCTTTAAAAATTGTAATGCTTCAACCAGGATGTTGGAAAACTTTCAATTCAATTTCTAAGGATTAAAATGACTTCAGTTTATACAATATTGGATACAGGCAACTTAGGATAATAAATTTCCTTCCACATTTTGGCTTAATGGGGAACACTGAAAACAAAAATTTTTTTAAGCCTTTTTTTTTTTAACCCCATAGCAAATTTTGTCACACAAATCTTTTATTTGGATTTAAATAGTTCATGTGACTATAAATCAGCAATGTCTTCATCACAGAAAACAAATGAGAACAAGAAAGGAATGTATTCTTGGACATTTTATCAAATTTTCCTCCTGCCACTGCACGTGGTATTCACTTTCTTTCAGGGTCAACAAAACTCAGAAATCCTTAAAAACATGAAAATCCTTGATCTCTGATTGCGAGTGTGTGTGTGTATTCCCACTAAGAAAATTATATACTTAGAAAATCGAACAACTGACACAGAAGCAGCTTTCCTGCCCCAGGTTGTATTCTGTCACTCAGTTATCTGCTCTGTAACCACGTATATACATGGTATGCAAGCGTGTATTACATATACATCTCCTTAAAAATCTATTTTTATCTCATTTGTTTTTTAAAGTTAAGGCAACTAAAAATGACTACTGATTCATAGAAACTTTACAGGTCAAGTAGAATTCTTAGCATAACATCTATAATTAACTCTAAATCATATTCTTTGTAAAACATTTTCAGATTTCAGAGATTATTTAAAAATGAGAGAACTATGTCTTAGAACCTATGAAACAGCAATGGAAAGGGAGAAAACTCGGGAAGGACCAGCCCTGGGGCTCTGCCAGCCCCCGCAGCGAGCTGTGCGACCCTTAGCCGCGCCCCGCCCCTTCCCTGGAAGCTGAGGCAGACGGAAGGGTGCCGAGCATGTGACACCGGCTGTTGGCTCAGGGAGCGCAGGTGCGTTGGCCTGACAGCGTCTGCCAGCGACCCCTGGCCCGTAGAACCCCCTGCTCTCGGAAAGAGAGCGAAGCACCGCTGCTTGGTAACCACCACATTTACAAAACACCTATGATTCTTAGAAAAGTCACCATAATCTGCCATGATAACCTAATGCAGAATTTTCTAACAATTTAAACACAATTCACACTTGTTGGGTCTGATGGTGCCTCTTAAGGATCAAGATAATGCTCCATGTTTTAATCATTCTTCATTTTAAAAACACTGCAAAATACTTACTTTAGGAGGAATAATTTCCATTTCTAAATGGTTAAATTGTTAGTGATTTTCCCCCCAAATCTAGATTACAAATCAGATTATGATGAGATTTTTACATCATAGTTTTTACACTATCATGTGTTTTATCTATGTTTCAAAAATTCCTTTATCATTTATTAATTACAAAGCAATATGAGTTTACTACAGAAAACTTGAAAATACAGAAAGGTATAAAAAAGGATTAAGCACAAAATAAAAACTGTTAGCCTAGAACTAATCATTGGTTATTTGGGGTTTTTTTTTTTTTTAAGTCTTTTTTAAAAAATTAGGATGTGTATGCACACACACACAGCACACAAATGTAAAGTTTGTGAAATATATGCACTTTGGCATACGGCTGCTTTCCCTTAAAATCTATTGTGTTTTTCCATGTTGCTAAATGTCCCTCAAAAATATGATTTTAATGGCCATGTAGTTTCTTGCTGAATAGATATACTAAGATTTACTGGGCTGCCACTTTCTTGTTGGATAGGTGTAACGCTGCCAAATTTCCCGTACGAATGTCTAATGAGCACGCGAGGTTAAGTACCTTCTGAGTAAAACCACTGGGTCACGGGGCGCCCATATTTGTCAAGAGTTTCACACACACTGGTTAACAGCTATTACAATAAGTCCGATTTCGAGTCCGACCAGTGCCTCATGACCGAGCACACTTCAGTGGGCCCCTGCCATGTTGGTATAACTTGTTTTACATTTTAGTTTACTTAATAGTGAAATTATCTAACTTTTATGTTAATCTGCATTCTTTTGATTACTGATAACATTAAATTTTTATCATGTTCCCTTCTCATATTTTATGTCCCCTGCCTATGTTTGTGTTGGTATATTTATAATTTTCCTAGTGATTTATAAGAACTTATACATATTAAAGTGATGATTTTTCTACTGTATATTCCCACCATCTAATACGACACTATATGACTTACCATAAATACACTTTTACCATTTTTTGAAGTATGAACTACTCCATCCAATTAATTAGGTGTAATTTTAAAACATAAACTTTGTTTCATAAATCATTAATCAAAATAATGCTGCATACCTGAAACTAATACAAGATAATATTGAATGAAAAGTGTAATTGAAAAAAATTTAATAAAAACAAATAAAAAGGAAAACAGAGTTCAGAGCGCCTGGTAAACAGCCATAGGAACGAGCAGCCTGCGTCCGGCACATGCCCTGAGGCACCGCATGGGCCCGCGCGCAGTGTGTGGGGAGGCTCGGCTCCGGCCTGCTCGCCTTGACGGCGTCTTCTTGTAACTCAGTGTCCATGGACCGCCTCCTTCAGCCCCCTTTTCCTTCAGCTTTACAGAGCTACCTGTCTAACTCAATTTCCCATAGGTATCTATATTTTAAAAATGCAGATCCTTCTTTCAAAAGCAAATGCATCCCCCTAAAAAGCGACCACCAGAGACACGCACTGCAATGAACCAATCCATTATCCACAGTACAGGAACAATGGTGACGACAAACTATTCAGTGCCTACCTAGGCAGCAAGGAGCACTAACAGACAGGAGTTGGTGACTCAGGATAAAATGCTTTCAAATTTGTCTTAGTATATACACAACTTATTTCAAAATTTTGCATAATTTAAACAATAACATGTCAATAAGCTTTCAGAGAAAGCTAAGGGTCAACCATTTTATAAAGAGAAGTAGGTTATAAACCCCACAGTTCTTGACACTGGGATCTTTAGTTTTACTGTCCAGCTTTCTTATAAAATTTAAATTACTTTACATAAACAACAGTGGAAGGTCCTTCCTGGAAGTCAAGCAGGCACAACCTACCACGTCCCGGAAGACAACAGCACGGAGGCGATTGATATCGACATCCTGAAGGAGTCGGTCAGGGTCCTTAATAGGAGAGAGGTTGCCTGGAACATTCTCTAATGGGGTCTGAAAAGAAAGAAAACTGTTAAAAAAGAAAACAAAGGCATAATACATCAACTTACATAGTGCTATCATTTCTAAAATTCTAATTTTGGCATTTAGTGGCCCACATTCTTTACCTCCTCATCTCTGGATACCATTTAGTGACAACACCACTCTACTATGAGACACTTCTTCTGCTCTCCTAAACTCTAGTCAATTTCCTTCATCAGCACTCTTGGTCTTTGTTACCAGAGTTACTGACGCAGACTTAGAAAAGCAGGTAAGATCATGGCAGAACAGAGGTGGGGTCTGGGCTACAGGAGACCTGGGCCTGGGCTGCCGTGGAGGGGCCCTGGGCCTCCAGCTGGCGCTCCTGGGGCCTCCCTCCGGCCCCGGCATCCAGTCAGCACGTCTCCCTGGGTCACTGGTTCATGTGGCCGCCATGCTTCCGCAATGCGCGACCACTGTTTCACAGTGTTACACGAGATTTTGTATGTGTGAGTGTGCCGTGAGCTACAGAAACTTAGAAAAGGTAAACTTAAAAAAATTCAAACATAGCCTTAATCTTAAAGCTGAAAGACATTAAAGATCATTACCATCAAAAACCTTTATACAGCTGAAGATACAAAAAAAACTGGCCAATTTTATGCACTGTGTCCCATAGCAAACTAACAATGGAGTCAAGTTCCCTGAAACTCACTCTAGCCCTGTTTTACTTACACGGCCTGTTAAGGACTGTGTGGACACGGTGTGTTAAGAATTGCATGAATTAAGTTAGATAGTGTATGTGATGTACAAAATATAATTCCTGCCAAGAGAATGACTTGCTGTCACTCTAAGTAAAAATAAATAGGTCTCCTCCTAATTCTCTGTAGACTTCAAAAATGACCTTCCATTCCTAGAGGAAGGCGCCCGAGGGCCCTGCAGCGCAGGGCAAGGAAAGGGGCGGGTGTGTGGAGGCCGGCGCGGCCTGGCTCCATCGCAACCCCACAGCTCTCCAGCAGTGTGACCTCAGGTGCGGTAAGGGCGGAGCCCCTACAAACCTCAGCGGTATTATTTAAATAATAGGCTTATAGTATTTATCACGAGATAATTAAGAAAATAACACATTGAGAGCATAAATAAAAAGTATATAATGTATAGCATAAACAAAAAAATTATACCATTTTATAAAGTGTTTCTATATCCATAATGTAACTTGAGCCTTATAAAGATTTTTTCATCAAAAATGCTTGTATCATCTCTCCTTATCAATGTACACTATAATCTTTACAAGAACCCTATGAAGTAGAAATTATTAGTACCTTCATTTAAATCCCAAAACCTCGAGCCTCAGAGCAGTGACAGTCTCGGCAGCGCACCTGTGGCGAGGAGAGGCTGGCCCCGGGGCCTGGGGCTGCCTGACCACCGCGCCCCTGCTCTGTCACGGAGCAGCACTGCGGGGCTGTTCCCATAAACCTAAAACTTAAGGCGAACCGTGCACAACGTAGCCCACTCTGCCTTACCTTGGCTGCGGCTGCGGCCGTGCCCCCTTGGGGAGTGTCGGCGGGCTTGCTGCTCCCGTGGGCGGACTTGCCCCCGCGGTCCCGCTGCCTCTGCCGACACTCTAAACAGTTCCTCACTGCGACGCAGCACACTGTCCAAAACCACAAGCTTATTAGTCATGTGAACTGTTGACTCTGACATGTTGAAGAAGCCATTAGGTTCTTTTTGTCTTTCCTTCCCCTTCTTCCATCCCCTTATGATTTTAAAAATCAACTAGGTCAACAAATATTTTGATAATTATGAAATACAGTAATGAAAAGTACATATAAAGCAAATGTGTAGTTAAAAAATTAAACCAAAATATCCATGTACTACCAATGAGCTGCAGAAACAGAATATTGCTGGGGCTTTGAAGCTCTCAATACACTCTTCCATAGTCTATCTCCTCCCTCACTCAAAATTCTGAATTTTGTGACTCAAGAAAACTGTTTAAAAACCTAGCGTTCATGTCTGGTAAGCCCTTCAGCATCGTAAGGCTTCTCCCAGTAGCCTGAGCACCGCGGCGACTCCCACAGATCCCAGCAGCCACCTTCCTTCATGGCGAGAGCGTCTGCGGCCTCTGTCAGTCAGTTTAAAAGCTGTTAAGTACAGCAAAATAAACGGCGCCGATTCTGGAACCGGGCCCCTGCGTCCAAGTCCTGGCTCTGCCGCTGGTGACCTGGGGGGCCGTGGGCAGCTGCTTTGACTCTCTGTGCCTTGTCTCCTCCTGTGTAAAAGGAGTATGAGCATGCTTCCTAGGAAGACCCTGCTGGGGACTAACCGAGCTAACACATGTAAAGTGCTTAGAGCAGTGAACAGCACATGTTGATGTGTAATTGTCTGCTTTATTATCATTCACTTAGAAAACATTCCTATGGATAAAAAAAACAAATCTGCTAGGAATTATGAGGATAAAAATCAAAGCAGCAGTTAAGCCTTAGAATATATTCGGGAATAAAAACTCAAAATAACCAAACAAATGCTGGTTTGAAGATCCTGCAGCATTTAAAAATATCCCTTACTCACAAAGTTCAGCCCATCAGCAGGGCTGAACACAGGCGCCACGCACAGGTGGCCAGGGGACCCGTCCCCGCCCCCCGGCCCCCACCAGGAGAGGCCGCCCAGTGCGCACAGGATCCTCTCAGTCCCCGTCTTTTAAGAACGCAAAACGAAAAAGTAGGTTCCATTCAATCATACTTTTCAAGACGTAGTTATCATTGACAAATAGCATCATTCCAAGTGTACAACATGACACTTGGCACCTAAGTACACTGTGAAATAACTATCACAATCATGTTAATGAACACGTTCGTTCCTAAAGCAGTTCTTCCTCCTCACCCAGGTCAGAAACTTCCCCCCCGAAATTATACGTGTAGATTTTTACACAGTGGTTTATATCATGGGGAAAAAGAGTACACATCAGGAATTTCCTGCCCATCTGATGTCCTGCTCATGCTCTAAGGAAAGGATGTCAACAGCAGCTTTCTGGTTCTTCTTAAAATCTAAATAGTGTAAATGAATTCCCCCTTCAGAAGGGTTACGGTGCCTACAGACAGTGCTGCCTAGGGCTGGCCTAAGTTTATTGACTATGGTCAGGGCTCAGAGTTCTTTTCTCTCTTTCTTTTTTAAAAAAAAATACAGTCACACCTCGGTAACTCATCAGCTTCAGAACTCGTCAAACCCTGTACTCATCACATTTTGCTGAGAAAAAAACGTCTCAGCACTCAGCGCTCGTTCAGGGGACTTGCCGCAAGCGCTAGACTTGTAGGAGTCATGATGCCGCCCTGAAAGAGAAAACACTGCATCGTTCAGTACTCGTCAGCTGTCACTTGTCACGTGTTCCAGAATGAATTAATGACAAGCACTGTGGTACCACTGCAGTTGGAAGTAGACATATGGCATCCTGTTTTATTGTTCATTTCCCTAATATCTACAGGTTTTTAAATATTTTTTAAATTTTTCAATTGCATCTAAGGTACAGCATCGCCTGAGCGCTGAGCTCCTTCACAGATAGAAGGTGATGGGCACAGTGTCTGTCCGAGGACACTGGCTCCTCGGAGAAACACAGCGAGACTGGCCCAGCTGGCCCGCTGGGCCGCACTCTGCACACAGCACTAGTGCTCCCGAGGCCAGTGTGTGCACGGGCCCAGGACATCCACCCTCTGCACCAGCCCACCAAAGCAGAGATAACAAATGAATTTACATTAAAGTCACTTCCATGAAAAATGCACAGCCCTACTGATTTTTAAACAATTCAAAATACATTCAATTCTATTTCGAATTATAATCCATTTGAGATGATCAATTCTGTGAGTCTCTCACGTGAAGACAGTGCACTTTTCTGTAAATGACCATAACAAGCTCTCCAGCGCCTACTCCTCATCACCCGGCAGCCCGGAGCGCCAGGAAGCAAAGCCACAGCTCGGCCTGGGGAGCGGACTCACCGAGCCGCAGGCACTGCCGCATCAGGCCTCCAGAAGACATGTTCTTCTCCGCCTCGATCTCGCTGAAGTTCAGAGAGCTGGCGAAGACCAGCACGTCCACCATGGCCATCAGCCGGCTGAGGAAGGTAACCGCCGTCTCTGCGGACATGCCTTGTGTCACCTCGATATTTTCCAACTCCGTCTTTCAAAAGGAAGATTATAGACTTGTTAACATTTGGAAATGTAATCCATGTACATACATATAGTATAATTAGTATATTTCATGAAAAAATAAATTATAAAATACCACTGAATTTAATATATCATAAGAGGTGGGTATCGAATTAGTCTACCTATGAATTATCTTTGAATAAAGGAAAAATCTGTTTTTAAAATCAATGTTAGATTTCAATGTCATTATTTATAGAAACTACGTTCCAAACTGAAGATCATTTTGCAAAGATACTTAGAAATAATAGCACACATATATTTATACTGGTTTTGTTTTATTAGTTAAGAAATATAAAATGCTTACTTCCTGCCTAAAATCCTCACCACTGTTTATTTTTTTTTAAAAAGTGTTAATTTTTCTTTCCCATAAATGTATGATGAGTAACAGGGAAGATAACGCGGCACTTTCACCAGCATCAAAATGAGACAAGTGTCAAATAAGAGTATATAACAACTTATCCTTTTCAGAATAAACTAAAACCGCTAGGTATCTGAAAAGTAAAAATCTAAGGTAAAAATAATCAGAAAGATTATTCTTCTACAAATATAAGCACTAGCAAAAATTAGTATCAGCAGAAATCTACCTTGGTGAAGCCCGCACTTTCACTAAAATATTGTCTGTGATAACATACAATTTCCTGTTTCCAAGGGGAATGTTACAAAGTATTCTGTTTCTTAAGATGCATAACTGAATGTTATAAGCGATTGCAATGTTTCTTATTTTTCATTGTTGATTACGTAACATTTTTCATTATTTTGGTTCACTATGACTAGGCTTCACTTTCTCAGTATCTCAAAAAGCAGAGTAAAGTAAAGAATGCTTTAAAAATAAAAAATACTTATGCTTTAATTTTCTAAAAAAGGCATACTAGTCGTATCGATTAACTTTAGTTCTTCAAATAAATTAAACTATAAGGTCAGCCTATATTCCAAGTCTCAGTTTCAATTCAACTTTTCATTGTGCATTGCTAATGCCCATCCTTCTACTTAAATGCGTTCCTCTCACACGAACATCAAAAGGTCAGCAGAAAGCAAAGGTTTTTTTCTTTAATGTCAACTTTAAACATTTCCTGTGTATAAGATGGGTATGAAAAATGATAGATGACTATTGCAAGCACTATGTAACTTGATTCTCCATGGAGAATAAACAACCTCTCTTCCTTCCATTTAGCATCAAATTGGTGGTAAAATTCTTTCTAAAACAAGCTTGAAAATATTCAGAAATTTGTTTTCAGTGTTGATTTACATTATGTCAGTGCAGTATCTATATCCTAAAGAAATGATTACTTCATTACTAAAATTTTTGAAATGCATGCTCCTTGATTCCTAGCACTTCATTTTATAGCATCATTTCATAGCATGAGTTAAAACCCGTGAGCACAACAGATTATAATGAAAAGCAAAGAAATTCATTTTATATAAAACTGCTTTTGAATCATAGTTATCAATCTAAGTTTTTATAACAGAATGGAATATCTGGTCATTGCTTAGATCTACTAAATATTCTGAATAATTTTTCAAGATATTAGAATATTAGGATATCCATAGATATGTTCTCAAATAAATTTTTCATTATTTTGAATTCCTCAAATTATTAGAACACTAACTCACTTCATTAATGGTCTTTTCTTGGGTCTTTTGGGATCTACAAGATTCAACCTTCAAAATATGCTTTAATATTTAAATGAGTAAGTTACAAACAGAAATTATAAACAGAATTATTAATTGTCCATTTAACCTGTCAGACTGTTTTTGTTGACTAAACAAAAATAATTTTACAATAAAATGCATTCTTAACACAAACCACAACCTAAAAGAGTTCTTATTACATTATACATAAAATATATAATTTTGATGGAATGTTATATAAACATAACAGGTTTAAAAATAAAGAGCATTCATATATCATTATTCCCAATCTTAAAATAACATTTCATCCACTTTTCTTTCATTGGAACCAGCTAACACCTGGTTATACATATGACTGAAATACTGCTGTTTTCATTATGTTATGATACCTTCTTCTAAAGACTATTGTGGATAATAAAATAGTAACTTGTTAATGAATTAAAAGCAATAATCCTTTTAATGAATCTTTTAAATATACCTAAAGCATACCTAATGTTAAAGATGGTATGGAAACGCAAAATACAACCAAGTCAAAAATTTCATAAATAAGTAAAAATAAAATTTAAAAATAAAACCCTGAAAATTAACAAAGTAATACTAACCTTAGAACCCTGGACATGCATTAGACAAAACAGACAACAGACCAAAAAAGTAGAAGAAAAGAAAATTATTAAAATTAAATAAAAATACAATGTAAAATTGAAACACAAAATACACTTAAAATTATATTTGATTATTTTATTAAAAGCAAAAATTCTAAGAGGCATTCATTTTATATATTACAATGGTTAAGATTAAATATCAAATATTTAGACTTCTATTTATTGTCTTCATTAGAATAACTCTGCCCAAATAACATGTACATAAATATAGTTCATGTATTAGAAGTTATGCATATTCTTCCTTTGTAGAATAAGTATCTTTTCCTAGCAGATGACTTAGTAAACATTTAATAAACTAATATAATGTTTCTGTAAAAGCCCTAACTGTGTACTGGTTTAGGCAGAAATGACTTAGGAAAATAAACTATATCAAACTTCCAGAATTTTCTTTAAAGAATCATGTTAGAATTTGGTACCCATCCATATATCGAAACTCCCAGGAGTTAGTAAAAGAGTAAAATATTTGAATAATTATAACTTAGAGACCACATTCCCTTGCTAGGAAATAATCTATTGATATACTGACTGAGGTCTACATGTAAACTAACATAATCACATAGATATCTTACTCAGTTTCACAATCTTATATTAATTACATTCAACATAGTCAAAAATTTGGATAGAAGGTTCACAGTCAAATCACCAACTGCCCCTATTCTCTGGTTTTTGAAACCAGTATGTGTAAGCATAAATTTCAAAATGCACTCTATTTACATGGTGTATTGTACAGAAAAACATAAAAGCTTCCTGAGAATACTACAGTATAATCAGTGTTATGAGATAAAACAAAAAATAATATTTCCACATATATTAACTAAATATTCTGATAATGTAAGAAAACAAATTAAAATGAAGACTTTGCCATCATTTTTTAATAGAGACAGTTGTTCTTTCTCATGACACTGAAACTGTTAGGAGCACCAGAAGTGTCAGTCTCTATTATTCTTCTTTAACAAGGAAAACGAAACCACCGATGAAAATGCATTAAACTCTAAACATTCGGTGTTCTAGATGGAGGACCACAGCCGTCAGCCTGGAATCATAAAGCGGTTCTGCAACGGCCAGCGGACCCGCGCCCCCCGCCTCTCCTGGCTGTTTTCCTCCCATCCTGCCGCCCCCTGCGACCGAGCTGGGCAATGCGGAGAGGGCGTGCGCGAGGCCCTGACTAACCACTCACGTCACATCAACTCCAAATGGCCCACGGCAACAACAAAAATAACGCTCCTTCCTCAAAGTAAAGATTGGTCAAATGCATACTAAGAGCTCTAAATTTTCCCCTGGGTACTAAAGATAAAAACCACTGGTATTATTTAGAGACTTGAAACTATTTTTGTAACTTATTTTCTATGCCACATGTGATTTTAAATAATATAGGCAAAACTGGAACTCCAGTGAAGTCCTATTCTTCGATGCATATTAAGGTCACAGCGTTCGCCATAATGCAAGTGTTGCCTAACTGCACTCTCTTCCCCTTCAAGTTTCCATCGAGACGCTTCCTTACAAGTCAGATGGGCCGAATCACCCGGGTTTCTGGCGGGCACCGCTGCGGCAGCCGCGTCCAAGCGCTGTCCTCAGCAGGGGCTACCGCGTTCAGACAGCCCCGGGCGGTCAACAGACCAGGCGGTGCCATCCCACGGGAGAGCGGACAGAAAGGTTACACCATTTTAGTCGTGGCCATAGAAACCCGTAACAACACGTTGGTCTCAAATATCCTATTTCAAACATCAGAATTCTGACAGACAGGCTTATTTTATAAATGGGAAGATTATTTGATCATGAAACAATTCTGAATAAGTCATTCCCAAAGGAGCTAAGGGGCAAATATTCATGGAGAACCTTCTCCGCCTGAGACCTCACCAGCTGTAACCCGACCCATGCGCAGCCAGAGCCCCATGGGGTCAGCAGGACCAACACCTGTAAATAGGTGAGGAGACTGAGGTCATGTCCAGTAAGTGACAGAACCCAAGTTAAAATGTAAGGGGTTTCTTATGCCAATGCTCTTGTACCTTACAGTAAACCCTAACTTCACAAAGGGCATGTCCGAATTTCACTGGTAACAGGAAAGGAGTTTGTTTTCAATGATAAGAAGACTCCCTGAGAGCCACACTTATACTGAGAAATGGGAATGACATATTCCTGTGTTGAGCTTTGATTCATGTTTTTAAATGGGTAACAATGCAAAGTACTTAGCGTGCTACTTACTCTCTAAAAATGAAATGTAATTTCAACATGAGACATGTCAATACTAAAAAAATAAAATAGTATGACCAAGTGTGAAAAGGGGGCTCATCTCCTAGCAGAACATAACGACCATAATATTCAGTAAAATTGTTTTCTAAAAAATTAAATTTTAAAAATGTTCAGTAAGTCAAAATCAAGTTATTTAATAGAAGAGCGTGAATTTATCTTAAGCTTTAACTATTGAATTTACCATGGTCAGTAATAAGTAATAATGTTTTCACACTAAGACAGTATACTATGACATTTGTATTTATTTGAAGATTATAGCAAACTATGGCCCAGAAGTCTAATCTGTTCCACTGGCTGTTTTTATAAATAAAATTTTATTGGGACACACATAGACCTACTCCTTTATGGCTGCTTTTGCACAATAGCAGAGTTGAGTAGGTGGGACAGAGATAATACAGCCCACAAAACTGAAAACATTGACTATCAGATCCATCTAGAAACAGTTTGCCAACCACTGCCACATCAGTATTTCTCCAAATTCTTCATTAAATGCACATTTGCATAGAATGCATGGCTATTCTGAAAAACTCCACCAACCTGAACAAAATTACCAGGCCGCTCAAGTAGTAGTTTCCAATGTTTCTCTTCCTCTTTCCCCCTCTGGGTTTACACTCACCTGTGTCTACATGACACTGTTCCCCTTTGGTCTTCTAATGTCATCAATGGTTCCTTTTTCACTTATTCCTTCCAACTCTCTGGCCTTTTACATTTTAAATCTAAGTCAAAAAGCTCCCTGTCGTCCGTTCTAATGTTCCCCTTTATTCCGTCTCCCCCTTCCTTGCGTGTTCCCATGACGACACCAGGGCTTCAGCAAGAGTCTTACACCACCGAGGGGCAGGAAGCACACTCAGAGGGCAGCACCAGGCCCGGTCGCCCGGGGGCTGCTGCTCCTCACGGGCAGTTTGTTTGAAGAACACAAAATGAGCTGTGTGGTGTAACCAGGCACGGGCACAACCACTTGGTGGACCGAACTAACAAAAATACAGAGACGGGGACAATGAAGAGAAGTTCCTACAGTTGAAGGAACTCTCAAATCATTTCGAAACAGTCTAGGCACTAAGAAATTTCAAATCCCAAATTATACTGGTCAAACTGCACAGGTAATAGTTTGGATATCAAACCTCAAAATGTCAGTATCTTTACTGTACTTTCATTACAAAATAAAAATAAGCAAATTTGGGTAGTGAAATAGCACTATACATCATACTGTTTATTGTTAATATATTTTGTTCATTTAATATTTTCCCTGTTCTGGTAGCAATCTTTTAGCTTTAAAATCTGGAAGGCTATTTAGTAATGTGAATATCTGAAGCCTATGCAAATTTTAATGCCTAGTACCAACTTTATATAAGGTCAATTTTTTTGTTCTGCAGACATTTTAAAACAATACACTTATTGGGAAATTTAATACAAACTTTTAAAATTTCCTGACAACAAATAATTACAACTATAAGATATAAAATAAAATTTACATGGTGAAAAAACTGCCAGGAGGAAAACAAGGATTTATTCAGCTTTTAATGTGTAGAAATAGAAAACCTCTCCCTTCCTGGCTATTAGAATGCAGTTTTAAAATTACACATGACCACTGACCATTCTTCCCTGCCTACATGTCCTCAGCGAGCCGCTGCCTCCACGGAGGCCCTAACAGTGGTCTGTCCCCCTGCACATCCCTGCTTGTCTTTGCGAGGGTCCTCAACCCACAGATGAAGTCCAAGTGTGTGCGCCTGCCAGAGAAAGGGGTTTGGAGGACACAATCTCCTGCTGCTACTGTTTACGTTTCAATGTTGCTTCTGGGGTGGCAGCACCGACAGAAGCGAAGTGAGAAGAAGAGTCACGTTGAAAAAACTTGTAAATGATGAAATGAAGCCCAAGATCAATCTGGAAACTGCCTCACCAAGTGAAAGGCACGCCAGCAGGACCGGCTTCCCTCTGGAGAAGGCGCACTTCAGGGGCTTAGACGAGTCCCCCGCACGACAGCGAGCACAGCAGCCGCAGGGCCGGCGCGGGGCTCCCTTCCCTGCCCGCTCAGTAAGCAGCTACGGAGCCAAGTTTGTGATATGGATCACAGGTAATTTTTAAAGTGATAATTTAACTACAACGTTAGCACTGACCTACTATACTTTAAATGACATGTAATTAACCTTAAATGCCTTTCAACCTTAGTATACAAATACGTTTCAGTGTTTTATATAAAGACAAAGATGTATATTTTTTAAAATAAATGTTGACCCAGTAAATAAAGTCAGATAAAAATACAAAATGCCGTGTGAGTAACAAAGTTTTGAGGTGTTTAATAATGATTGTGACATTTTTAGGACAGTATAAAATGGTGTTTTTTCTACTTTTTCTATATAAGTGCCTAAATATTAAATAAGAAACACTCCTAGAATTAACTAATTTGGTTCTCTTTGAAAGCAAAGGTGCTGGCTTCAAGATAAAATCTCAGAGGACAGGATTGTTTAAACTACTCGATGTTGTTTAAAATAGTAAGTTTAGAAATAATATTTCAAGTAAATCATATAAAACTGCATATATAATGATTTTTTTCTAAACTTAGATTCATGACTCCAATTACTATACAATAACCATATACTTGTATTTAGAACTTGAAGACTTACAAACCAAAGATTTTAACAGTTTCTTATAATATACCTCTGAAGGGATAAACAATATACGAAAATAAAGTAAATAATTTACAGTTATGACTCCTAGGAAGTATTCATCAGAATTACCAGAGAAATATTTTCATAAATACACATAGCTGGAACCTACCACTGACAAAGTACCATGAATATGTATTTATAAATATAACTTCTTACGGTTAAAAGCCCCTTAGATGAACATGCTTTGTTAAAACCCACCTCCTCACAGGGCCCAAGGTCTTGGACACATGTCACTGTGAGGCCCAGGCCTTGTAAACCTGCCACCGAAGGGACCACCGGGCCGGGGCTCCCGGCGCGTAATCGCACAACACTCCCACTAGGTGGCGGCCAAGTACTTACAGTGGGAGACGTGGCGGCCGAGAGCAAAGGCAGGATCCCTCCACAGGCGATGATGATGTTGTCTACCATTTGGGAAATGAGGTGAATGGTGTTATGTACAAAAATGATGTTTTCATTGCTGTTGACAAAATCCATTACAGACTTTGTGGAATGGCTAAAATAGCAGAAAAACAAAATACAAATGAACACTTCCTTGGCTTAAGAATAAGAAATTTAGGCAGTTTATAACATTTTTAAGTGACAAATAATGAAGAGCTAGGCAAATTTAAGAAGGAGTTATTGGAAAATAATATCGTTTATAATTGAGATATTATGTTAGTGGAAGTGCAACATTCATCTCAACATGGCTACCGTGTGTTTAAATGTATTAACCTGGTGTTCTGCTTCTCCTCAAGAAATAAGGCGTATTAGCTTGATGCAAAGACATGTGACTGGGTCCACGAATTCAGCTAAAAAATCTATTAGGCAAGTCACTCATTTTGTGTGGAAAGGCAGAACTGGCTAGCGAATGGAATGCTCTACCCGCTTCTCCGCCTCTCACCAGCCACACTGACCTTGCACACTGCTCGTCACAGAAGTGACGGGACACGCCCCGAGCCCAAACGAAGCAGGAAGATTCAAGGACTCGTTAAATGAAAAAGAAAAGACCTCCAAGGATGGCAGTGCAGCGTCCCCCCACGAAACATGCCATGGAGATAATCGGAGACACACGCTGCTTTAGTTTGAACACTATTCAAACTAAATAGAAAGAATACTATTTTCTAATGGGAAAAAAAATATTCCATGATCAAATTTAAGTCAATGATCCTCAACTTTTTAGAATTTTAAAGTATCTTGTTGTATCTTAGATCTCACTCAGTTTCCTGCTGTCCTAATATAAAGTACTACCTTAAAAAAATTAAATAAAATTTCATTGGGGAAATTTTATGAGAGCCCTTGACAGGAAACAAAGACACACTGTGTTAAAGGAAAGGAGACGGAGGACCCCTCACGGAGGAGCTACCCCCACTGCACTCAGGAGCCCGCACTACCCACTCCCATACACTGACACTCGCGAGAACAGTGCGGTATCTCGTGGTGCTCCAGGCCCCCTGTGGGCCACCCCCAGGGGACGCGGAGATAACAGCACCAACGCAAAGGAGAAGACCTGGGCCTCTGCCCGCCAGCTGCACTGGAGCAGGGGCAGGGAAGGCTGGTTTCGCCCCAGCGGCGACGGTGCGGACTGGTGCTGCTCCGTACAGACCCATCCCCACACCCCTTGTGCTGGTGACTGACTCACAGAAGAGCACAGGACCCTGCTGGCATGTGAAATGTAAGGGGGACATTTCTTGAGGGACTTGTATTAAAAAAAGAAGGAAAAGGAGAGTGAAGAAGAGAGGAGAAGAAAAAGAGGAAGAGGAGAAAGAGAGAGAGGAGAGGAGGAGGAGGGGGAAAAAAAGAAGAGGAGGACGAGAGGAGGGGGAAGGAGGAAGAGCCCCTGCCCCCCGTTTGGAAGCGTCGTGCGCTGACCCCGCACTGACCCCACACTGACCCTGCACTGACCTAGGTGGGACCAGCAGCAGCCCCCCAACTCATGGAAGCCGGTCAGGAGATGCCAAGAAGCCATGGGAGTCCTGAGGACGCGGCGGACTCCGTTACGGGCAGCCGCCGACCTCCTGATTTCTGTGCTTACCCTCAGAGCGCCGCACACGTAAGTAACTAACGGGTTGTATATCTGCTATTAGAAAATTAAACTAAAAGGCAAGGTAATGATTTAATTTCTTTCTTTAAATGATTCTATTTGAATAGATACCCACTAACCTAAATGATATAATCTCTAAAAATTTAAATTAGAGATGATTTTAAATTTTATTTTAATAATATATATACATTATAAGCATATTAACAAGAATAAATTTAGTATGTATCAAATGTAAAAGGAAAAAATGTGGAAATTTCTTTGAACCAAAACTGAACTTTTTTGTTGTTAAATCTGTTTTACATAGAATAAGCAATCCTAGTTCTCAAAATTTTGCTTTTTAATTGTCTCAAGCCTAAGTTCTTGGATGCCTTTTGATATGCGACACAGACCTTATAACTCTTACAAATATATTTATGATTCTATAAAAAACTTAGTTTATTTTTTAATAAATTTAATTTGTGAGATTTATTCAATGGTACCATTCACTTATGACTCAGCTCATGTCCGTAGTTTAGAACACTCATTTTCTTAAATAAGTTATTGTTTTTATGGAAAAGAAATACGCCTACCTCCTCCACACGTGAACGTCTGTTTCCAACGCGAACAGCAGGTCGGTGAGAAGCCGCTGGTGCATGGGCGACCACTTGAACTCGGGAATGCGGAACATGGTCGTGCGCGGGCCGGGGCTGAACTGCCGCCGCTGCTCCTCCGTCATGGGCATCCCCCGGAAGCCGAGGTCCACGCGCAGGTCTCTGTCCTGGGCCACGGACCGGCCCTGGACGGCCTGGAGAGGCACAAAGCGAGTGTGTGTAGATCACAGAAGACCACGGAAGGAAAGCGAGTGAACGGGGAGGGAGGGGCGCTGACGCCCGCGGCGTCCTGGGCCTGGCGACCCCAACAGAGGCCTGCGCGCAGAAGGCGGCGAGGGCTGCTTTCACGTGACAGCCTCCGAAACTAGGCAAGAAAATCAGATAGCTGGGTAGTAACAACTTCCACAGTGAAAACCAGATCCCCTTAACCTGGGCCTCTGGAGTCTGCCCGAGACCACGTTTCTTCCTTAGGAAAGGGCGCACGTACTCCAAGGGATGCCCACTGGACACATGTCACCAACTACTTGTGATTAAAACATGTCAAAAGAAATACCACTCAGAGTTGTTAGCTTCAAAGTCTATTTCACTCAGAATACTTCAGTTTAGAAGAACAAATGCATCTGTTAAAGTTAGAAAGCCAGAAAAACGCCTCTGCACGCTGAGTGGAAACCAGAGAGGCCCGGGGGTTCTATTCCGTAAATGGCCCACTGCGCCTCCCTCTGCTTTAAATCTGCGCCGAATTCCGCATTCCCCCCAGGCCCACGCTCACGGCAGGACACCCTTCCCACACGGACCCCACTGCGAAGGAGTCTTCCAGGGCACGAAGACACCAGTTAGGTATACCGTGTACTCTTTATAATATAGGACATTTAAAACTTATTTTCAATGACATCAAAAGGTGAGCAGAAAACCCAGAGAACAAATCACGGTGTGTAAGTTTTTTTCTGCTCTTAAGTACATGGCACTGTTTAGCCTAGAAAATGAGGAAGTACTCTTAACACTGAAAGCCTCAACAACTAAGATCCATATGAGAAAACACCCTCCTCTCACGTCACCCCGGCGAGGCCCAAGCCCCTAGCCCTAGTGTGTCCTCACCTCACCTCAGGGCCTCGGAGCCTCCCTGTCCCGGTCCTGCACTCCCCCCACGGTCCCAGAACAAACCCTCACTGCCAGTGACTCGCGGGGGCTCCGCTGCCCGGCCGCCCCAGGCCCCCTCCCCACGCTGGGGCAGGCCGAACCGGCAAGCGCAGGGCACGGGCCGGCCCCACAGCAGGCTGGCCCCCGGCCGGAGCAGAGCAGTTTCTTCTCCGTCCCCTGCCTTTCTTCACCAGCTCAATCCGGGGTCCAGGTCCTCTTTTCCAATCCACACAACAGGACTGGGCTTGAAGCTTAAAAGGCTACAATTAATGACATCTGCAGAGTGAAGATCTGAAGTACAAAATGTGTAAATGGAGTCACAGAGCCAAAAAATACCAGAATGGGCAGCCCCCCTCAGGGCCGTATTTTGATCTAGTACAGTCTCGTTCTGTATTCTAAAATTCAGGCTCGCCCAAAGCCCAGAGAGGCGGAGCAAAGTCAGACAGAAGGTGGTAGAACTGGGAATAAATACAATTCAGGCATTTTTAATTTCTTCTATATGTATGACTGACTATACCACTCAATTCCACAAAATATTCTTACATCGGGTTGGCCAAAAAGTTTGGTTTTTTTCCATAAAATGGCTCTTGTAGTGTTGTTTTTAACTTCATTTGAAACAATTTTATTAGATTGTCTTGTGATAGCTATCACATCAGTGTGCATTTAAAAAAACATAACAATTGGTGAATTTTGTGCAGCCATTTTAATATTGAAGATGTAAGAAAATACACAACATTTTCAGCCTATTATCTGCTTTATTACTTCAAGAAAGGTAAAAACACAACTGAAGCACAAAAAAAAAAAAAAGATTTGTGCAGTGTAAGGAGAAGGTGCTGTGACTGATCAAATGTGTCAGAAGTGGTTTATAAAGTTTTGTGCTGGAGATTTCTCACCAGATGATGCTCCACAGCCAGGTGGACAAGTTGCAGTTGATAGCGATCAAATTGAGACATTAACTAAGAACAATCAGCGTTCTACCATGCAGGAGACAGCCAACATACTCAAAATATCCAGATAAATAAACTTACTGGTGAAAATGAAAAATGCATCTTTCATTTTATGGGAAAAAAAATGTACAGACTTTTTGGCCAACCCCAAACCATAATTAAAGATAAGCCTAGTGTGACTGGTAAAACATCACTCAGGTTTGGTGCAAACAACTGACACCTATTTGACAGAGTCTTGGAACTCAGGTAGGATCACTCACTTGGGTTGTAGTAGTGGTCTGAATTTTTCGGATTTCTTTTCCTAATTCTTTGCCATCATCAGACCTCTCAGTATCCGAAACTATACTTCCTGCGTCGATGTTTGGTGCAACCCTGCCCCCAGAAGACTCCGTCTCCAGAGCTGCGGCTGTCATGCCGGCACACGCCAGCCCTTTCGAGGCCGAGGCCGAGTCTCTTTCAGAAATGCTGCTCGTGCCATCTGAGGTGGTGTGGATTTTGAACTCTTTTTCTTCTACGATACTTGCACAAGTCAAGTCTACGCTACTGGTCATGTGAGCAAGCAACCCCAGATCATCACTAACACCAAGATGCACTTGCGTGTCCTGAATATTTGGAATAATGTGATTGCTAGAAAGTTCAGGGAGGAGTTTCTCTTCCTGTTTGGGTATTTTATCAAAGAGAAATGATGCACTGTTATTAGGAAGTTCATCTTTCTCATCTGCTAATGTTATCAGTGGGCCATTATCCTTCTCTTCACTTTTTTTAATGATCCCAACGCTTCCGTGCACATTGTTCTGGAGTTTCTCAACGGCCGCGCTGTACACGTTGTCCAGGAGAGACTCCACCTCCACCAGGGCCCCGTTCTCTCCGCCCACTAGGGTCTCTGGCGATAAGTCCATATCGTCCAGCTTTACTTCTGTGGCTTCCACTTTCTCTGCTTTTATGTCAACAAGAAGGTCGTGCACCTCCACATGCACCCCGCCGCCCGGTCGGTCGGAGTTTCCAAGGATGTCGTCGGACACTTTTGTCGCCATGAGCAGGTCCCTGGCGTCGGTGCTGACGGGGTAGTCCGTCTCGCTCTCCGGGCTCTGGCTCTGGGAGAGGTCCTCGATCTCGCGCATCTCCATCCCGCCTTTGGCGCCGGCGGCCTGCGAGGAGAGCCCGGAGATGGTGCTCACGCTCCCCTTCTTCCCCTTCTTCATGTTCTCCTCCTCCTGCCGCTGGTACTCCTCGTACATCTTGGCCAGGTACTCCTTGTGCGCTTCGTACGTGACCTTGGGAGCAAGTTAAAAAAAAAAGTGGAACCAAGAACTAAGATTTCAAACGCAGCATGTATTAATACTAAAACAACTGCTTAGTTCCACCAAGTACTTGGAACTGATCATCAAAAATCGTTAGGACTTCTTACATGTCCACACAGTTAGGCAAACTAATAAAATTAAACTTGTAAGTAAGTGATCTATTCTTTTAGGTTAAGTGTTACCCTAACTTAATAGGCCAGCTGAACTACATCCTTGCAGCACTTGAGCTAAAATGGAGACATGGCTGATAGACAGACCCCAAGCCCTGTTACAACAGCGGTCAGCTTCACCGTCTCTCACTCGCGTGCCTGTGTCAATAGCTGGTTTTAAAAACCACACCCATTTATAATATACACTTATAAATTGTTAGAACATCACAATTTTATCTTTACATAGCTTACTTTAATTACTTTATATAGGCTTATTTTAAAATAGGATATATGTGTGCATATATGACATACGAAATTCAATGTATTTTCTTATAAAATACTATTTTCAAATTTATTAATGTAATAATAAAAGATGTCAATATTATTATAAAATTTAAGTTTTTAACAGGAATAAAATCTTTTCTAAAATTAAAAAAGTTCAAAATTTTTCCTGGGAGGCACATGTGATATTAGTTTCCACTTAAGTCATAGGATAACAAAATTTTGGTTTATGAGGAACCTTCCTTTGGAGACTACAATACTAAAAACCCTCCAACTTATGGAAGATGAAATTAAGTCCCAAAAGCAGGTTAGCAAACTATATTCTCCTTCTACTACAGATCAGATAATATTTAAAATATAAGTATATAAATTTCTAGGATTAAGAATAAAGAAAAGATAGTGCAATTAAGAACACTACACTTAACCACTTTAAAGATACTTATGATTCACTTGAAAATAAAAATATCTTCTGACATTTTTTGATAGTCTTAACAAATATCTCAGAGTCTATGGCCTAAAATACTCTTATTAGAACCAGTAGGAATGTTTTAGTTTGTAAAAGAGCAAGGGGCTCAGGCCCAAGTTCTCAGGCCTGCCATACATCCTGGGTGGGGTCCCCTTTGGGGTCTGAAGTTCCTCACTGATGAACCTGAGGTGTGGATCCCGGAGGAGATGAAACACTGTCAGACCACACAGTGGAAGAGCCCGGGACCGGGAGTCAGCGTGCTCGCAGGCGCCCACCAGAGGGCGCCAGAGGAGCACCTGCAGCCCGCTGACCCGGAGGGGCCTGGGGACAGGCGCTGCGGGCGGCTACCTTGGAGTGAGCTATGGAGAGGGTGTCCACCCACACGCGCCAGCCTCCCCACTCGTATTTGATGGCGTGATACAACAGAATCCGGAAGATGTTGTACACCATCTCAGTGATCTTCTGCTCTTCAGAATTTTTAGGGTTGATGTAGCCAAGCGAAAACATCCAGTCCTGCCACACTGAACACTGCAATAAGCACCTAGTGGGAAAAATATATGCATTAAAAATACCAAAATTACATTAGAATTCACTATGGTGAACTCTCGATAAAGAGTGAAAATGGGGGCTGACCCAGGTAAACCACGGGGCAGTCATTCCGCACCGCCCACACACCATACCTGGAACGACGCTGCCCCCAATTTTCTCCCTAGGAAACCCAAATTATTATTTCAAATTGCTTTCCTAATTCTCCCAGTCACAGTTACTTATTACCTTTCTACTCCCTCATCACGTATAACACTCCCGAAGAACTTACAACACGTTACAAAGTGGCCTCTGCATTATCGTTGTCATTCCCACAAAACTGCACCAGCTGCACACTAAGGCCGCCTGCGAAGCAAGGTGTGTTGCACGCACGAGGCGTTCAATCAACACTTGTTAAGTTAATGACTCAGGCAGCCGCCGTGGCTTCAGACTCTACCCCATGTTCTAGCTCAAAAGGCATGACCTCATCGGATGTCAAACGCGGTTAAGGATGGGTGAATGTGGGCCAAGCAACACATTTACAACTGAAAGCACTACTGGTGATAAACATGTAGTAGTACCAAAGGGACCCGTGCATTTTAAATAATGATTTGTGGATGTATAGTCATATATTCAATTAAAATATAAAACCCATATATGTAAAAACGTAAAAATAAAAAGAAGTATAATAAATGCACATTACATCAAAGAAACATACAATGCCTTCTGATGATTAAAAGTATTGAGCAATGTGGGAAAGAGTTGAGATATTTTCCTATGAGACTACAAATAAGAAAACAAAAATAAGATAATGGAATAAAGTTCTGTTATAGTATTCAAATTGCTCACCTTCTGTTTTCACGACTGTTACTGAAAAGTTTTATCATGTCAGATAAAAACAAACGACGAACTTCCATCAGTTCTGCACTTGGTGTAGAGTTTTTTAACAAAGTTGCCACCACCTTAAGAATCACTGTAAAATAATTTTTTTTAAAAAAGGTACAGTATAGATTTATAATTACATCATATCTCCCACTCAAAAACTACTTACTGATTTTTTAACTAAAGGTTTAGCGGCATGGTAGGTGAATTGTGTTATGAACTACATAAACACTATGATGACTAGGTGGTTGGAAAAGGTTTTGGTTTAGTCTGACATGTTACCAAGTACTACCGCGTTACAATAAAAAATGCTATTCGCTCACTTGGGTTCTGAATTTTCACTGTAGAATCCGGCTCCGGGTGTGGTTTGTGTACAACTTGAGTGCATACTTGCTCGGTCAATATCTGAAAAATGAAGATTTTTAATTTTGTTTATAAAACAACTTAAAACACAATTGCAAAAAATATATATACACAATTTCAAAAATATTTCAATTCTGTTCAAATCAAAAAGTCTCTCTTCTAAAGGGTCTTCTAGTGAATTCCATACACTTCTAAACTCTGGAGTCTTCAAAAAATATTTTTTTATTATACAAAAAACCAAAACCAAGACCAGTATCTATAGGAGAGATTAATTACGAAATGCAAAAATTGTTTGAAATACCTTTTTAGCATGCATCCTTAATATACGTATGCTGTAAATTGTCAACATTTGACTCAACATCAAATTAATTTTAGAAACTTAGAAAATAAGTAAATAAAATAAAGTCTGAGTCCTGGGTCCCAACCCAAAATGTAGTGTCACAGGGGACATTGTTTATAAACAGGGTGGCTCATCATTTACTCCAGAGTTTTTTTTAAAATCTTCATTCAAACAACAACAAAAAACCAACAAAAGTTGACAGTTATAAATAAAGACAATTATAAAACATTTACTAATTTTTCCATTAAACACAACCTTGGTGAGCACAGAATTTGTATCCATCTTTTTTGATGCTACATGCCCTGCAACAAGCACAGCGCCTGGCACACTGCCAGCACTCAAGTAACATTTAAGTTTAAAAAAGTACAATGTATGAATAGATATCTGACCATTTACTGCATGTTAAGCCTTAGCCTGTGTTTACCTAATTCTTGTACGTATAAAAAAATCCAATGAGACTATACTTAATAAAGATATTCTATATCAGTGACTTAATTTCCTGTTTTGTTAACTTCTGAATAAACCTTTTCAAACGGTCCAACCCACACCACGGCCACAGACCCTGGGGGAACTACGAGAGGTCGCGGGAAGCCTTGCTGTGCACAGCTGTAGGGTAGAAGCTGGGGATGAAGAAAGAATTAAAGAGAGACACGGGCTCCCCATGGTTAGAAAAAGACCATGACATCGGCAAGTGGCATTTTTCTTACCTTTCTGCTCAGCTTTTTGTTTTTAAAAGACAGGAAATTACTTAATCATATTAGGAATATATATATCCAAAAAGTATTCACTTGAAATAAAAACAAACCTAGCAGCCCTGGAATGGTAGAGGCCACAAGCACCTGCCTCCCCTTCCCTCCCACACGTCTGCTGGGACTGGACAGCGCCTCGCACATTCTCAGCAGAGCCCTGCAGACACGCGCCCCTGGTCGGGTGGGACTGGCCCACGACGTAAAAGTTTCTTTGAAAACCAAATACCACAGAACAATCCGTGGTTGGCATATGCTTACAAAAAGTTTTCATACCAATTGACCCAAAAAGATTTGGTGTGAACCTACAGCCCAGCAGACAAGATCCCAATAATTCCTGTTACAAAGAGATTCAGAATAATGGCAGACGTGCTGGGAAAAGAGGAGGTCGTAGTCTTCCATGAGAGAGAACAGTCAAAACTTTCTCATCCCCCAAAGACGAAATCTCATTGCACAGAAAACAGAATTTATCTCAAAGAACCTCCCGGTGTATATTGTTGTCTGTTTTAAGTCCCTATTTGATCATTTAACAATGAGGGTAATGGCTATGTTGCCCACCTAATGAAGCTGCTAGGAAGATTAAATAAGACCGTGTGTGAAAGTACTTTGAAAACTACAACATACTCAAATATAAGGTTTTTAATTATAAAATTATAGTTATTAAGGACCAGTTACAGGTCCAGACTCTGCCACAGGTTTGGAATGGGAAGCACGGTCGTGGTGTGCAAATACATTTCTAGAATCAACTACTTAATTAAACTTCTGGAGCCAGGCATGAAACGTGCCCCCGTTTCCTATTAAAACGTGCCAGGCTGTCATTGAGACCCCGTGGGAGTTTCAACAGGGGGAGGAAACAGGAACGTGTGAGTCAGGAGAGGTAAACTCTCCAAGGAACCGGAAGGACGTGAGACAGGCAGGTGAGGCCTGGCCCCGGCCAACACAGGGCGGCCCAGAGCCAGATGCGGACGTGACACCCAATGTGCACTCCACATTCACCGCACGCCTCAGTGCACACCAGCCACACGGTGGGAGCTTCACAGCGCCATGTGACCGGTGACTGTCACAGTGGAGCGGGCTGGGAAACGACAAAGATTGCAAGCACCGAGGCAGCCCAATAAATACGCTGCTGACAGACACAGCTCGGAGCAGAGCACTACACCTTGGCACTTCATTTTCTAAACAGAACCATCTCCCAGGGTGTGAGCCGCAGAGGCGGCCTAGGCTGAGGCAGGGCCCCAGGTGCCACCCGCCACCCGCCACCCGCGCTCCGTGGCCTTGGCACACACAGCTCATCGCTGCTCTGCGGGCTCAGGCAGGGCCAGTTTGTTCACAGACGGGCACACTCTGGGCCACTGCCCCTGCTCACCGCCACGGCAAGCGTCTGGGGTCAGACAAGCTTTGTATCTTGAGAGCATGGACAAGTGTGATACTGCCTGATTCTCAGCTTCTTCATCTGGGAAAAGGGTATTCAAATAGCACGATGCTTATTACACCGTCCCCCTCGGAGATTCTATAATTTTGAGAAAGGAATCTTTTTAGGAGGTACCTAACTATTTCAAGGTGAATACGACCTTGTAAAAACATTTGTGTTCAGAAGCTATTATACCCTTATAGAAAAAGATAAAGTCACTAAAACTGCACATTTAAACTATCAGTTAAGTGTTTCTAAGAGAAGCTGAGCGTGTCAAGCTCTCCACCCAGGAGGCCTCGGTGTGGCTGGGCGGAGTGTCAGGGACAGACTGTGAGAGAGGGCGTTTCCCCGCAGTGAGCCAGAGGGTGTGAGCGAGGTCCACAGGTATAATGAACAGAAAAATCTGCTTTTGCCTTTAGAAGACAGATTCTAAAATCTAACCAGTAATTCTTAAGGGTGCCACCCATCATTAAGTAAAGAAAATATAATGACCCATAATTTATAGACAGAGTAGCAACATAAATATAAAGCAAATAAAATACACAACATATTTTGCATATATTGTAATTCTCAAAAAATATTTGTATAAAAATAGCTTTGTGCAATTTCAAAGAGGAGTCCATTAAAGCTACCTCGCTTCTTATATAGAATATATGTAGAATATACTCATATTCTCGTATATGAGATACTAGAATAAATGCTCCTCAGAAAACTATGAGACATGTATATTCTCTTAATCATTTTTTGGTGTTAAGAATAACTAAGACAGAGACTTACATTTTCATAAGTTAAGTGATGTTGTCTGACACATCCTGCCAAAAGTCTAACTTGCTTAGTCCTTTAATATTTACTATTTATTCTATTGGGTATCCTATCATACATCGAATTTTAAAGATCACAGTGACACAGTTCTTTTCCACTGCACACACTGAAAGCTGTCATCTCGTGTTTTTAAATTTTTACCTCATATAGCGTGTTGTATGTGGTGACGGTCACAGTGCTCGTGTGCAGCATCAGCCTCTCTCCAAGAAGCGTGAAAAGACTATGGGTGTGCATGATTTCCACTTTTCTCCTGGAGCAAGGGAAGGAAAAAGAACAAAGAGGTTTTCACCCAGGCACAGCATTTGCTCTGTGTATATTACAGTGCTATCCATGCAGGAACTCTTCCTTGGAGCTTCTTCTGGTTTCCTTTTTGTTTGTGTGAAAGCTTTTTTCCTTCAATTTCATTTCCCTAAAGTTATATTAGCTTATGATTCAACACTTCCATGTTATCCAACCATTTCTTCTAACTACTTGAAATTCTGTTTAGTAGTTGTCTTTCCTCAGAAGCAAATGCTTTTATTTTTTTATTTTTTAACTTATGATAAAAATTTTAATCACAATTATGTATGCCATAGCAATATTTTTCACAGTTCTGTATTTTTAAATGTGCTTTATTGACAAGTTTTAAGACAGTACATCTAGGCTAGAATTCTTTATTAGTATCTCGTAATCAGTTTCTTTAAATCAGCCATCCTTATCTCTTAATATTAAAGTACACGTGTTTCTCATTCTCAGTCATAAAGGGGTAACTTTCTATAACCCTGCCCACAGTGATTTAGTTTCCATGCCTTTAATATCTCTATTCTCCCTTACTTGACCAGTGGTTTGAAAAGAAAGTGAGAATAATACCTATTCTTGTAGGCCACTTAGCATGTCAGAGATATTTTGTCTGGACTTTGCGCAGTTTTCATCGGTATTATCAGTAAACTCTTGGTACATTTAAACACAAAGAGAATTGGCAAGGTTCTGAGAGGAACCCCATCTACCAACACTTAAATAACAGCACTAATTTCTTGAGGTCATTTGTATAGAAAATGAATTTTTAAAAAGAGTAACCATGCACTGGACAAAACTATCAAAAATACTCATATATCAACAGGTGATTGTTTTAAAGTATCTGACTCCTGGACTTCAGGAAAAAAAGATTCTAGGATTTTCAATGAACCCCAATGAAATGAAAAGTAATGAACCCCAATATTAGAAAAGAATATAACATAAAAAAACACTGACTTAGCATGAAAGTAAAGGCATGATGTGAAAGGAGACCTCAATATACACATATTCTCTGGGTCAGGTCAGTTTTTATTGAAATCATATCCATATCTGCTTTATTTGATGACATACTTTATTATATCTTTATTATATCTATTATATCTAAGAAAATAAATAATATTTTCTTTTCAGCAACCAAATAGTTTTCAGCAAGCAAATAAACTATATTACAGAAATTGTGATTTTTGTTCCATAATCTACTATCAATAGACATTCTTTTATAAAATATTTTTGCGACTCTTACCATAAGAAGCTATTATTTTCCGCTGTAAGATGATTCCAGTCAAATTTCATGTTATATTTGATAAAAAACTAATAAAAATACGATTTCAGTAGATATTTCCACATTTCATTATTTAAAAAAACATCAACTTACTTGTGACCTAAATGTTTCAGAAAGTATCCCAGAACTTTCAGGGCCTGAACCCAAATACTTTCACTTTTGGAAGCCAGTAATTTGTAGATTACCCTAAAAAAATATAAAAATCAATGATCTTTTAAACTCCTACAAATGTTAAAAATATAAGCACAGCATATTTTACAATTACAATATACATAACATACAAAATACCTCTCAGAATTTCAAATTCATTGAAAAAAATGAAAAATCAGAATATTTTATAAACTCTTCTTTAAACTTGGCTTTCGAACATATAACAAAAAGGGCAATGTGACCAGCTGTTCACGAGTATGAGCGTCCCAGCCCACTCAGTAAAGATCTTCTACTTTACGACCTCCGCTTAGTGAAGCCACTCTTCCGCTGGAACTGCCCCTGACATTGTACTCGATGACCCCTGGGCTATGGGCCTCCCCAATTATCTCTCTTCCCTCGGGATTCAGGACGAGATCAGGGAAGCAACACGTCGTCTTTGTGGGGCCCTTGAATTAGGCGATACCGTGACCCAGGAACTACAGGGCAGCCTTGTGTGTTCTCGGACCCAAGTGGCAGAGGGAGGAACTTACCCCCTGCTGCTCCCCAGTCCCCGGGTCCCACCCTGCTGGAAGTTCTACACCATGCACGCTACTCTTTCACTACGTCCGTCCGTCCGTCCGTCCGTGTGAGAAGCAGTCTGTTATTTGGGGCAAAAAAGGCTCTAGTGACACATAACCTTTCCCAGCCTATACAGTCACTTCAAATACTGTACAAGAGATTTTATCCCACATTTTATTCAAAAAATAAAAGTAAATATTTTCGAGAAGGTAGAGGGAGCAATAGTAACTATATTCTTTTTAAACTAATTCTAGAATTTAAGAAGGTCCTGTGGGGTGGTAGTGGTGACTCTGACTATAAAAACAGGATATGCGTTATTATTTTAAATATCTTTTTTAAATAAAATGTACAAATATAGATGTGAACAAAAACCATCTCCATCCTTGTGTCCTTTCATGCGTTGACCTTTGACCAACGTCGCTGTTCTTAATAAGCACGTTAGAGCCTTCCAGTCACTAATTAACTCTGTTCCTGATGGGGGCCAGGATGCAGGCCCAGAGATTATCCAACTGGTGGCAGCACTGAGCAGCAGGGGCGTTGGTCCCTGACGCTCCTGCACTCTTGGTCCCTTTGTCCTGCCCATCATTAGTATCTGAGTTATTAAAAAACAAAACAAAACAAAACACACGCAGAGCACTAAGCAGCAGAGTCGGTTAGCGGAGAAGAGCCCGCGGGCCCCGCCGCCCGCTCCGACCCAGCCTCCCTCAACGCGCTCGCCCGGGCCAGCTGCCTGCTGCTCTCCGGGGCTGCGGCCGCGTGTGTCGGTCCGCAGATGCCCTCCCGGGAAGGTGGCCGGCCCACCTCCACACAGCCAGGGGACAAATGCCATTCTATATTTTGAAGGTGAAACAATCTGGGCTAAACAAAAAAGCTGGTAATAGAGGACGTAGTACAATTTTCCTATCATCTCAGTTAACATTAACAAAGTGGAACAAAGCTTAGTTAGTGGCACCAATGTTATGTTTGTTTCACAGTAGCTTATACTATTCAAAAAATTAATACATTGTTGATAATGTGTTTTTTTTTTTTTTTGCATTACTCTACTGAAGATCAGACAATGAGTAAAGATAGACTATACAGTGACTACTTCCCTTGGAAGATTTTTTTCCAAGTTCTTAAATATATTTACACTGAAATCTATTTTCAGAACTTTTAAGGACCAAGATCAGTAATTTAAAAAAATAAGTATGAGAATACGAAAGTTACACATGTCAAATAAGAAGTGTTCAGGAACTCATAAGAAAAACATCCAATAGAAAAAATAATCTTGAGATCCAAAGGAAAAGCTCAAAGTCTAAAAATGTGACTACCCTCAGATACAGAATCAGTAACTCCACTCAATTCCCATTTTCTAGGAGGAACTTTGAATTGAAGAGAATAAAAAGACCAACAGAAATTATGATTAACATCTGACACATGAAAACATCTAGAATTTTCTCTACAAATAGACAAGTGTTTCTTATGAAACACGATAGAAAAGATTGCAATACAGCATTAATAGGAAACATTGCCAAATCAGTTCATGATTGTTTACTTATAAAAAGATCGATGAATCCTAATTTGTTTGCTCAGGTTGTTAATACTGATTTACTTTTCCTTTGAGTTGCACAGGGAGCAACCTGGATTTCTTCCTCATCCCGATAACTCAGACTCTAGGAAAATAAAAAGGGATCCTCCGCCTAAGGGGCCAGGATGTAAGAATACTAGTCAAGAAACTCCCCTGTCTACATAATTACTTCCCGTCTTCCTGACTGAAGTGCGCCTTCACCTTCTTTTGATCCCGCCGTCCGGTAACAGAGCCACTTTCACCACCGTATGGTCACCGCCCTAACTTGTTGTCCCTCACAGCCATTTTGTCCCTCTCCACCTCCTTTTCCAAGGAGCTTGCCCCTGTATCTTACAAAATGGAAATCTCCGTAATTCTTTACTTTTGATCGACAGAACCAAACTAAAGTCTATGGGCCTTCCAGTCCTGGTCACTAGCAAGCTCCTGAGCTGTCTTGTGCTGAATCCCACCACACGCTCGTCTTCCTGCAACACAGAATAGGCTCTTACCCCTCCCTGAAATGTCCTTCCCGTAGTGACAACTGAATTACTCTTCTTGAGACCTGAGACCCATTTTCTTCACGCCGCCTCAGCTGAGTGTTAGAGGATTCATAGGAGCTTTCTCCACTTATTTCCTTCTTATGTGTAAGATTTCGCTGTAGTTATTCAAAAGTTCATGGAATGGGGGCCATTCTAGGAAGCACAACTGTACTCAATTCAAGTCTACTAAAAATACTAGTCTTATCCTCATACCTTATTCCATTTCTTTGATCAAATGCTGGTATCATCGAGGCTGGGTGTTCTGACATCAAAGCCACTAGTAACTGTAACACATCATGAATATTTTCATCCTGCATAATGAGAAGCACCAATATTTCTTCAGTTAAAATTTTATGCTAATGCTTTGAATAAAAAAATTAAAAAAGAAGACCCAGAACGTGTCCTACCTCATGCATTGTAAGTAGGTAATTTAATATACTCTGAAGTTCATCTTCTTTGACCCCTCGATCCTAATGTTTTAAAAAATATTAATTTAAATCTAAAATTAAAACTTTAATTAAAGACAGACATCAAAATGATCATTTTAAAAGAAAATAACAACCTAAGAGTAGCAATGTTTTAATTAAAATAGCTAGATGCTTCATAATGAAACAACTATATTATTTTGGGTTAAATAAGTAAATATTTAGACATCAGTATTTATTCATTCAAGTTGCTAATATCTGACCTTCCCTATAGTTAGTATATTTTGATCATCTAACTTAAATATTAAGTATTAATAAATATCACTATTTGATCCTGGTACTTGTCTCTTAATCCAAATTACTGCCAAACTTTACAATATTATATATTTTATCTCTTTTTTCCATTTTATAATCTTCATCTCTTAAGATCCTACTGTGATAAAATACATAACATAAGCCTGCCTAAAAAGGGGCAAAGACCATTTTTCTGGAATAAAATCTTTATGCTTGTTTCTTATTCATGTTCCTTGCCATTTCTGCTATATCCCTTAGTATAAAGGATCTCAAAGAGTATTTAACAAATTCAATAAAGGTTAATAATACTAAAGTTTACAGAATTTTAAAAACGATTCATGAATTAAACATAGTTTGTACTCAGTTTACAATAATGATTTTAAAATATGGCAAAAATCCCTTTCACCTAATACATTACAATTCTGAATTACATAAAATTATTTTACCTTTAATATGAGCTGTTTCAGAAAGAGTAGCATAAATGCCCTCAGTGATATAATTTCTTTTTGTGATGGCCGGGGACCATCTATAAAAAGACAAAAAACAAGGAGGAAAAAAGAAATAGAAAAAAAAATCATGACATTGAATAAGCTTAATGCAATAGTATTAGGATACTACAGAATTCTTTAACAGTTATTATTATATTTATTTATATTAATGCTGTATAATCTCAATTATATCAGAGAATCTAAACATTATTTATAGGTTTTGGCCAGTACAAATTATTTACAAAATGTCAGATTTGGGGGAAAATTACTATTTAAAAATTATATTACTATACATTGATAAATGCATAACCATCAAGTGGTTACATGGATACTTTTTCCAAATTTTATTAACTTAATATGTTGGTTCCCTTTACCCCCTCAAATCCATTTTCGCAATACCTTCTTCCAACCTCAAACCTGTCTTCATTTAAACACTGTCTCTATTTTCAGCCTATGCATTATAAAACATAGCACAGAAAAAGTGGCACTCTATTGTGATTGCTTGTTTTGCAGCTTTTTTCTTCCGTATCAGCTGTGTATACCTAATACATACTAGAGTGGCCACTCAATCAATGCTTATGAATCAAATGAAAATGATAAAATTTATATACACAAATTTCATCCTAACACCTAAATTTCAAAGTAATTCATTGCAAATATTTAATTACCAAAAAATGAGAATATGCAATGATATATGTAACATATATACATATAATAATTAAATTATACCTTGAATGTGTGTAGCTAGAACCATGAAAATCCTTAAACATCAAACTTTTCTTTATGCGACCAGGATTTTTATATAGCTTCGTTATGTTTGAAAACTACCATCCCTTTATGTGTAATTTCTAACATCAAAAACTGAGCAGCAGATGTCTACCTCGCAGAGAAAGTCAACACTCGAACAGTTCACCCACTGGCTCTTGAGAAACTACCAGACCGCTCGCTACGTGGCGCCCCACTCCTGCACTAGGACCAAACACCCGCCCTGCTCACCAGCACCTAGTCTTACTTTTTCTTACAAAATCACCGTCCGTGCGAACGACAGCACCCGTTCAGGAGAGGCACGCCCAGCGGCCCGCAGCGGCACCAGGGGAACGCCCGCCCCGCCCTCCTGCAGCGGTGCCCGGGCGCTGCACGTGGTGTGACCGCCAGGGGGCCGAACGCCCCGCACACTCACTGCCTGGCCATGGCAGGGGACCCACGGAGCCCTCGTCCACCTCCGGGCCGCAGTCCCTTCCTGACCACGGCTCCTCCTCCACCCCAGTTCAGAGTGCCATTACTTGGTGACATTCTTTTACTGATAATTTTGCCACCGCCGAATGAAACTGTACAAGTTTTATATCCTTAATGCATCACTTTTTTTTGCTAGGATAAGGAAATAATAGTGCTTATGTCATAGGATACTTTGTGAGAATTAAATGGGTCAACATATATAAAGAAATCAGAACAGTGCTTGGTCCATTAAATTGTAAACACTTGGTAAATGCTATGTGTAATTACTACGGTCATATATTATACAATGTAAAGAGCAGGTCGCAGGGAACTACACTGATATGTGTGTACTGTGTATATGTATGTAATATGAATTCATATTTTACAGAATATAATACAAATAAATTTATCTTACAAATAAGAAATTGAATGACAAAACAAATCATAAATGATACCATACTATTTATGTAAAATACAGACGCTAAACAATCAATCATTTAGGGACACACACAGAGAGAGCAAAGGAGTCAAGCCCAGTAAACAATAACATGCACTAAGGGTGGGCTCATCGTTGCGGCTGGAGGCGGGAGGAAGATCGCGCGCTGCCACACAGGCTCTTGGTCACGGTCTGTCCCCTACGCTTGGCGTTAACTGATGAGGCTCAGTTTATATTTGCATATGTAATACCACGTTGTGTTCATGATCTATTCGAAATAAATATTTAAGACACCTAAAATGTGAAACACCAATGTACATTTATGAGCAAGAAAAAAACAAGCAGAAGCATAAGCACACGTACTTAGGTCTCTGTCACTAAGAACGCCCACAAGCAGTGACACCAAAGAGAAACAGCTTGCACAGCAAGTACACTTCACACCCAGATCTTGGTTCCAAAAGCCCCACCTACCCAGACAATCCCAGGCACCTTGAAAAAATGGGTGATTCCAGGAGTGGGATAAGGAAAGTATCAGAGGAACCATGGACATCTTGCACCAGAAGGCAAGGAAGTACTAAAAAATTATGGACTGTGGACACTGGTTATAAAAACACAAGAACTCACGTGGATGGGGCTCCTATGGCCAAATCTGAGAAAAACGGAACATAAAAATAAGTAACGATAACTCAGGGGATAGCCTTCGAGCTCCATCCAACCAGTTTTTTAAGCTTCATGAATCAAACACCACCCGCTCATGTGCATACTGCCTACAGTTCGGGGTCTTCTTTCTGTGGGACACAACGGCAGACCTAAGTGTTCGCAACAGAGACTGTAGGGCTCCCTAAGCCTAAAACATCTAGTCTGACCCTCCCCTGGGGAAGCCTACCGACGGGCGGTTTGACATACCGAACAAAACAGAGAGCCATGACATTTATACTAGCAATAAAAAACGAAGAAATATGTAAATGTGGGAGAAAAGGGAGTTATTTCTACAGCAGAAGTCAAAGTAAGGTTAGAAAATATTGCTCCTTGGCAGCATTCACAGTAAAGATCAATTCTGACAAGAGTTATTGATGAAATCAGTAAGGGAAAGTTTTTTTAAAAACAAGACATTTATGTATTTCAAAGTATTTTCCAAATAAATACTTATTATTGCAAAAGAGAAAGTAGTGATCTTACAATTAAGAAACTAACAAACAAAATAGAAACAGACATAGATACAGAGAACAGACGGACAGCAGTCAGAGGGCAGGGGTTTGTGGGACTCAGTGAAAAAGGTGAAGGGATTAAGAAAAAAATAAGACACAGACAACAGCATGGTGATTGCCAGAGGGAAAGGGGTGGGGGAGGCAGAAGAGGGGAAAGGGGTGAGAGATGGTGATGGAAGGAGACTTGACTCTTGGGGGTAAACATACAATACAGTATATAGATGACGTATTATAGAATTGTACACCCGAAATTTACATATTATTATTAACCAATGTCACCCCAATAAGTTCAATAAAAATTTTAAAAGAAAAAAGAACCCTGGTAGACACAGCCTTAATCAAATGATCATAATTAACATCAGTAGCAATAAGACAACTCGGCATCAGGTGCCTCCTACCACGGGCACAATGGGAAAGGAGAGCACGACTTCTGCGCGATTCTTCCCAAAAGCGAAAAGACCTGAATTTTCATGAGCAGAAATCAAAGAGATCCAAATTAAAGGGCATTCTAAAAAGGAACTTGCCTATATTCTTCAAAAATGTCAAGGAAATACTAAAATAACTATTCCACATCAAAGACTATTAAAATGACAAGGCAACTAACAGCAATAAAAGAACCTCAACTGAGAATTGGGAGAAAATAATTTTTTTCTCTAGAAAGGATATTATTAGGATAATTGATGAAATTTCAATGGGGTCTTGGATTAGAAGATAGTATGGTATTAATGTCAATTACCTGATTTTATGGTTGCATCTAAGACAGTGTCCTTATGTTTCAGGAAATAAACAGCAGGGTATTCAAGGGTAATAGGGCATCATACATACAATTTATTCTCAAATGACTCAGAAAAAAATGTGCATATGTATATGTGTGTTTATATTTACATAAAAGTAGAGAATGATAAAGTCTATGTGGTAAAGTATAAAATATTGGGAAACATGGTAGGGTATATGAAAATTCCCTATACAATTGTTACAAATTTTCTATAAATTAGAACTTAATTTTCAGAACTAGAAGTATGTGTAAATGTATGATTTGCTTAGAGTAAAACAAACAGACAAACAAACAAAAAACCCAAAACTATCAGACGTAGTGTTTTAAAACAGGGGCTCTGAGTCACATAAACGTGACTCAAATTTTAGTGTAGTCATCTGAAAAATGGGAGTGGTGTTACCAAAATAGTTATATTTAGATATAATCATATGTGTATGTCTATGTAATTACATTGCATATAAATGACTAAACAAAATTACCATGTACAACAGAATGCTTAGCATAGATTCCAACTCACAATGAGCATTCAGTAAATTTTAGGCATTAAGTTTAAAAGCAATAGAAAAACCCATAAATGACAGAATAGTATATTCTGTCTGAGTGCAAATAACACAATTTTAAAGTCCCATCAATTAACGAGAGTAAAGTAAGCAAATGAATATTAAAACAGTGAAAGGCTGTTTTCCCCTATTAAAGAGATTTGTTTGAAACAGTACTTTGCAATGATACTGTGAGTATGCTGAGACATGCACTCCTATCATACTATTGGTAAAATGGAACCTGGTACAGCATTTCTGAAGAAAACTAACAATGTTTATCACGAGAACCCTTTCTCAGTAATTCTCAACAAATGAAAGATGGAGGTAAATTATTATATACAATGAACTCAATCATTGTTTGTAGATTTGATTATTTATAGAATCAAAACTTTAGAAATATGTAAATGGTACACCCTCTTAGAATACTACGTAGAGTCAATGGAAAAAAACATGAAAAAAAAATCAAGAAAATCTCAGTTCTCCAAGAGTTTAAGTATTTCACGTATTTATGCAATGAGAAACAGTTGAACACCACACACCAAACTTGTTAACAGCCTATTCCTCAGCTTGGGGTTATAAATAATTTTTTTCTTCTTTATTATTTTATTTTCTATGATGAGCATGTATTCTTATATAATTAGGAAGGAAAACTGACAATATATTTTAAACCACACTATGCCATGGAAAATTAGCTTCTACTATACATGGAAGAAAGGGAGAAGGATGGGAAACAAATTTTAAAAAGGCAACAATTTCAAAATGTTGAAACAACTGTATTAAAACTCACGGGTCATGACCAGTTATCACTGATCTGTTTTTAATATATGAATGAATATATCTTCCTGATTTACAACAAGCATAGAGGCTAAAAGGCAGAAAATTATTTCATTTACTTGTCTTTATTCCAAAAGTAATTGAATACTGCAACGCTACCTATAAACTTCCTTACCACAAAAAATCCTCACTATGCCAGTTAACTTATATAAAAAGGGACACAGCCCAGTGACACTTCCGCAGCCAGGCGCCCCCGACCTCGGCAGCAGCACTGGGAACACAGGGTGGCCGCAGCGCAGCCCGGCGCGCGGCGCCCTTACCTAGTCCTTGAGGGGCGATGCCGCTGCTGTCAGCAGGGTTGATGACCCAGTAGTAGTATTTCAACGTGTGCATTAGCTGGAGCACTGTTCCTACTCTGCGTATGGTGGTGTAAATGGTAGCAGTGCCAATGAATTCAGCAGACAAATACGTGTACAGAGAGAGCTGAACCTAATACAAAACATTAACAGAGCATTAAAATAAAATGTTTCAAGTGTTTATATTATACATTACACATTCTATTCTAACTTCAATAAAAATTAGTGAAGGCCAAGAAAGTACCATATATTATGAGGTTAAAAATAACTATTAAATATTATTTATATTAAAGAATCATCTTCAATGAACACATTCTAATAACATTTAATAAAGGTATTACAATCGCTAGTAACTGTGAAGTGATTTTAAGTAATTCAATAATGTCATTGATGGTCTCTGAAAGGATGACCCGACTGTTTAAAGAGCCACCCGGACCGCGGCCCTTAGCCCCTCCAGCACATCCCAGCGGTCCAGGGGAACCATGCCAACGGCAGACCGGCGCCACCGTGTTTGCAGAAAATACAAAATTTTGCCATCTGTCTTAAAAATTCACACAATTTCAAAATTTCTTAACCCACTGCCACAATATCAGAATCTAACCATGTAAGTAGAAAGTGACTCTTCAAACACCTCACTGAAATAGTGAACAAACTTCAGATTTGAGACTAGCACTATAATGAACATCATCAACTATAATAAAAGTCAGAACTTAAACATTACTTAAACAAAGTTATGTGAAAGGTTTGACAACTGCAGAAGGCAGCTCAAATTCATGAAAAATGTTCCTCATCATTAATTTCCACTAGACTATAACAGGGCTAAATTCAGGTATGCACAATCCTAAAAGCGTTATGGTGATATCTAGAAAAAAAAATTACGTATATATTCATTTTAAAACAAATAATATTCATATATCATGATATAAATTCTATATTTACAATACAAGCAATTTTCTAGTCACCACAACCACAATTATCATACTACTATGGATTACTGGTTATTTTCTCTATTCTCAGTCTTTTAACAATTAGTGTACCAATTCTTTCTCTCGGAAGAAAAGTATGAATTACGTCTAATGACTTTGGAATGCAGTTATTACATCAAGCTTAATTTTAACTAGAGTTTCCCTTATTTTAGTATTTCCGTATTTAATATTTTGATTTCTGATCCTATTTAATCAACACAGCTTCATACTGACTATTAGATAAGCCCAAAGTCCCCAATGTTTTCTACTGAATCACTCAGATCCAATAACCATCCCTTATCACATCCCGCTCAAACAACGCAAGTGAGTGAGCGCCCACCTTCGCAGGGGTGTGTATCCAGATGGCTGGGTTGAACAAAATGTGGTCGCAGAGCTGCTTCAGCAAAGGGGCTCCGTGGGCCAGGCCGTCCAGGTACTTGGCGAAGGACAGAAACTGCTCCAGGACGGCGCGGGTCATGTGGACGCGGGAGGACTGCGGGAAGAAGGGAGACAGTCCTTTTCGAACCGCGCCGGTCAGAGGGAAGACTGCTGGCTTAACATATGTGCCCATTAACTTTTCACATGTGACCCCTGGTACTTTAAACATAAAATTAAAAAAAACTTTACATATCCTTTGGTATTCAAAATTTAATTAGATTTTGAAATTTAGAATTTTAAGCTAATTCTCTGACAGTTGTTATCTGAAGCTCTTTTCAGGACAACTGCAGAGAAATGTCTCAGTTTAAAAAATGCTACATTTAACTCAAGCTAAAAGAAAAATGATGTTACAAGTAGCAAATGGTTTTACCCCATTTTGGTACAAATCCATGAACAAGAGAAGATCTTAAACAAAATTAAAATGGACCAAATTTTGTATCATGAAAATACACACACACATTCCAAAAAAAGAAAGAAAATAGGAAAGAGAAGTGCTTTCGCTAGCTCCAAACCGAAGGGAGAATGAACTGATCCTACCATTCCACTGAATCCTTTCTTCAAAAAGTTACAAATGAGGTGCACTTTGACAAATGCAATGCATCTTGCTTCCCATAAGCTTTTTTGACCTATCCAGAGCATTTGGAAAAGCAGATCTTGTTTTCTTGAAAATACTGCCCTCCTTCAGCATTCTCGCCTCCTCAGATCCTCTTCAGTGTCCGTCGCTGGAGAGACGGGACCGCTGCACAGGACCGAGCCGGTCCCCTCGCCCCGTGCACAGCCTCCCTCTGCACGGGCCGGGCTTCACCAGCTTCCCGTCACACGGCCTCTACGCCGGGCACGCCCACCACCAACTCTGAGCTGCCATTGCCATTACGGAACCTACTGCCAACAGCGTTCAGATAAGTGAGAGATATTCCTCGATTCAAGCCCATCCTTGAAGCTCCACTGTCCAGCAGAGCAGCCACAAGCCACTCACGGCTACCGAGACCTTGGAATGTGTCTAGTGCCAAGTGACAGCTGCTATGAGTATGTACACCCTGATTTTGAAGATCCAGGATGAAAAAGATAATGCAACATACCTATTATTCTTTTACTTATTGAGCATATGCTGAAGTGGTAATATTTTGTATATACTAGGTTAAATAAAATATTAAAATTAATTTCACCAGTTACTTTTTACAGGAGAATTTTAAACAGCATGTGAAGTTTATATTTTAATTGGACGACATGTCCCTTGAGTATAATTTCAGTGGAAAGTTTTATATAGAAAAAGGTGTTCATACAAACTAATAATTGAACTCAAATGTCAAAAAACCTAACTTCCTACAAAGATCTCCTCCTCTTCCTCATCTAGGGCTCAGGTCCGCAGCCCTGCCGGCCTCCCCAGGGGGAGGGGTCACCTCCCACCCACTCCGCCCTAAGGCACAGGCCACAGGACACCCCGTTCTCCATCACCCACTGACTAAAGTCCGAGGACCAGCCAGTGATCATTAAGGTGTAAGATTACCGCCATCCACCACGCCCACAACAGACAACTCAGATCTGACTTAAGCACGCCATCTGTTGTCACACTTCTCCAAAGGAGGCACAGGCTCAAAAGATCACACGAATGCAAGGCGCCAACAACAACGTGTGAGTGAGGGGACAATGAGGAACAGTGAAGGCTGCTCACGGTATCTAAGGGGAAGAATCAAAGCCAAAAAACTTCTCACTGAGCCAAGCAAAACATTTCTTCCGCCCAATTTCACCAGCCCAACACCAATCTGTGTCACCTGCTCCCTCTGCCGCTCTCCCTCACCTTGCAGCCCCCACACCCGCCTCCCTGGCCGTGCAGGCAGAACACGATACTTTTACATTTGACCATTCAAAACACATGTGTTGAATAGTTGCTATTTTCTAGGCACTCTTCTCGGCACTGTGGAAAAACAGTGAATGAAATTTTTTAGAAAAACCAAAACGCTGCCCTCAAAGAACTTACACTCTAAGGGAAAAGAAGGCAGGGGTATGTAACAAAATAAGAAAGTAAAATGTGTAGCACGCTGAACGTTTGTACGTGCATGAAGCAGCGTGGAACGGATGGGACACCCGCAGCCGGGCTGCTGAAGGCGGGCAGCACTGTGCAGGCGGCATCTCGCCGCCTGTGAGAGCGGTCCCACCAGCAAGGACTCTGGGTCAGCGGGCTCGCACGTGGACAACACACCGACGGGGAGGGGATAAGCAACAATTCTCCAAAACCCACAGCGAGCCTCAGAGCCTAACTCTGCATGAGGATTTTTTAAAGAAGATAAAGAAAATGGTCCAAACAAATAACATCTTTATGAAAGAGGGGAGGGGGACAAAACAAATAAATATTTGAGTAAAAACAAAACTGCAGAGATTGGGCCCTCATTTTAAAGGAACTTTAATTAAAAAAGAATACTTTTAAATTCTAAAATATTGTTCATGAATTGACGAATAAAATTAGGTAAAAAATCAAGAGTTATAAAGCTTCAGCCACTCCTTCCTTCACTAGTTATCATTTCACATAGCTTACCTTATACGTTCTATTTTTATTTGCTAATAATAGCTTCCAGAACGTAAGTGTTTTGGCAAAATAAAATAAAATAAAATAAAATACCTTAAACGTTTTTCATGGAACAGTCTAAATATGATGACTTCAGAGAGCTTCTCATCAGACCACCTTCCTCGATAACTAACAGCGTCTCAAACAAGGAGAGGAAGCTGAGACCACCGCTACCTTGTTACTCACTGACCATAAAACAGAAATGGAATCTTTATTGTCCATACGACTCACCTGGCAGCTGACTTAAAAAAAACAAGAGCGTGAGTGCTCATCTGAGAAGGCCAAAAAGCACAGTCTTTGTAGGTAATCAAGCATACAAGCGCATATCATTTATTTAAGTGAACAAATATCTAAGTGGCCAGGCACTCTTTTAGGTGCTGAAGATGTAGCGGTAAGGTGAGAAAAAAGATACTGTCCCTGCCCTCATGAATCTGCAGCGTACACCCCAATGAAAGGAGTCAGGAATCACATCATGATTTGAAGCGCGTCAGAGCGGCACTGCACCCGGTGGGCAGCGCAGCTGGCCAGAGCGTCCCAAGCAAGAGCGAGCGGGGTGGCCGCCTCTGAGACGGCGGCGTAGGCGTGGGACTCCCCACGCACAGAATGATCACAGCAGCGGGGGGAGAGCGCAGAGCTCCTGAGAGGGGCCCCCGGTCACCGTTTGAGTTTTCACAAGAAAGGCCAAAAGGCCTTTTTATGAAGCAGTGTGGCTGCAAAAGAGAAGGCAAAAGGTGAGACAGAGAATGTTAAAGAGATCCCATCAGAACTAAGAGATTCACAAATTTACTGTAAAAAGGACGAGGCAGTAAGATGTGGCGCATCACAGGGGCGCTAGGCAGAGTGCACGTGAAAAATGAACGGTGGGCCCCCAACAGTGCGGACGAGGCCCGGCCCGAAGGGGCTGCCGGTGGGGCTGGAACGCGGTGGAGGGGCGACTTGGACGCAGCCGCTGGCTCTGAATGTGCTCCGACAGTAAGTGATGGAACGTGCGGAGCGCACGAATTCACTGTGTGCAGAGGGAGGGTCACGCAGGAGTAACATTTTTGGTCTGAAGTACTTGTTGAATGGTGATGATGCTATTAACTAAACGGAGACAGAAGAACAAAAGGTTAGAGAGAAAAAGAAGTAACAATTTGAATACTTTAGGATTTAGGAAGCTTATTAGACACCCAACTGGAGCTGACAATGAGGGTCTAGAAGTCAAAGGAATGTCTGTGGATGGAGATACACTTTTGAGAAGATCTGACACCTACAGAATAATGAGAGCTAAGGCAGTGGTGAACTCAATTAAATTGAAAACAAAGAAGTAAAAAGGTGCCCAGGATTCAGCACCAAGACAGAAGGGAACGAAATAGAAGAAAAGGAGCCCAAGCAGGCAGGAAGAGAAGAAACAAAATACAACTGAAGAAGGCATTTCAAGGAAACAACATTCAACGGAAATGCTGTGAAAAGGCCAAAGGAGATGGTATGGTGCCCGAGAGCGGTGCGGGAGGCATGAGCAGGAAGGCTCCTGGGGACGCACGGGCGCCTCGGGACGAGGAGCGATGTGGCCTGGCTGGAGTGCGCAGGGATCGGGTTCCAGGAATGTAAGAATGGCCTCACATTTAAAAATCAGTGTCATTCACCCTGAACTAATAATGTAGAATCATCATAATGATACCATCTCAAATAATGCAGAAAAAACATTTGATAAAATTCAACACCTATAATAAAGAAAACCCAGCAAACTTGGAACACTTTCTTAATTTGATTAAGAAGTCTACAAAGTGTAACCAACAGCATCTATCTCGCTCCGTGGATAACACTGAAAGCTTTGCCTGCGAAACCTCAAACGAGACAGGGGTGCCGCCACCAGGCTTCCACTCAGCACCCAGACACTGGTCCTGAGAGCGCACAGCAAGCCAAGGGGGGAAATATACAAAGAATAAGTATTAGAAAGAAAAAAACTGTCATTCTCAGACATATGAGAATAGCAAAATAGAGAAAATATTCTGAAAAATCTACAAACTTCTAGATTTGAGAGGAATAGCAAAATCGGTATATAAAATATCAATATAAATACCAATTATATTTCTATGTACCAGTGACAAATAAAAAATGTTTATAAAACCTAAAATATCTAGAGGGAAAAACAGCAAAAAAGAAAGCTTTCTATACAGAACACTTCCAAAGAGACCTAAATAAGTAGAATGATTTACTAAGTGTATGACTTGAAAGATTCAATATAAAACGGCAATATAATACAATACAAATCCTAGGATTTTTTTTTCTTTGGTGAAAATCAGAAAGCCGGCGCCTACAGCGCGGAGGCACAAGAGCGGCCACGGCAGCTCTGCAGGCCCGGGAAGCCGGACGCGCCTCAGAGACGGGGGAGGGGGCCCGACAGGCGAGGCTCTGAGAAAGGTTCCACGGACATGGGTAGCCCGGCCAGAGAGAGAGAGAGTCATAAGTAAATAAATTGTGACACTTATTCTTTATACCACACACGAAATTCAATTGAAATTTTAAATATAGCATAAATATAAATGTGAAAAGTAAAACACAATTTTGAGTCTCGTAGTTTTGGCATAGGTAAGAATCCAAAATGGGCTAAGCATACAAGAAAATGAAAACTTGACCTATGTTAAATTAAGGATTTTTGTTCATTAAAAAACACCAGTAAGAAAATGAAAAGGCAAGTCACAAAGGAAAAGATATTTTCGATACATAACCAACAAAGGATTCATATCCAGGGTATATATAGAAGTTCCACAAATGAGTAAGAAAATGACAGACAATCCAAATGCAAAAGAGCAAATACTACAGGTTTTAATGATAGAAGATAACCAAAAAGACAATGTATGAAAATGCTTAATTTGTCATCAGGGAAATGCAAATAACACAAATTGATCTACCAAATGAAAGACTATTTTTGTAAATCATATCTCTAATAAAGAAATAGTATATAGAATAAAAAGAAACCCGCAATTCAATAATAAAAAGAAAATAGGTCCAATTATTTAAAATTGGCAAAAGTTCTAAATAGACACTTTTCAAAAAATATACAAGTAGGCAACATGCACATGAAAAGATGCTCAATATCAGGAGACATCATATAAATGCAAAAAAAAAAAAAGCAATATGCTGTTTTACACCTACTACAATGGTTAGAATAAAAAAGACAAACAACAGCAAGTGCTAGCAAAGATGTGAATGTGAAATGCTGGAGCTACTTTGGAAAAGTCTGGCAGTTTCTTAAAGAATTAAACATAAAGGTACAATAGGACACAGCAAATCAATTCATAGATATTTATCCAAGAGAAATAAAAACATATGTCTACACACAAACTTGCACATGACCATTCACAGTGCATTATTCATAGTAGCCAAAAGAAAGAAACATGACAAATGTCCACTGAAAGATGAACAGAAAAACAAAAGTAGTGAACACATACAATGGACCGTTATTATTGAGCCATTGAAAGGAATGAAGTTCTGATATATGCTACTAAACGAATGAATCTTATAAACACTGTGCTTCATGAAATAAGCCCGATAAAAAAGGACAACTATTATGATTCCACTTATATGAAATATCTAGAATACACAAGATCACAGAGACAAAAGTAGATTACAGACTGCCTAGGAGTGGGGGTCTTGGAGGGAACAGGGAACTTGACAAAGGACATAAGCACTTCACCGAAGAAAACCAATAGGTGTCCAGCAAGTATGTATAAAAACATGACCAGTCTTATTCAAAATCTAAAAATTGCAAATACCACGGTGAGAAAATATTTATATTCACTAAATTGACTGTATAATATAAGGACACTAATCCTGAGAAAGGAAGAACTAAGTAAGTCTCCTTATTTGATTTGTAGTCTTTTCACAATATTTCTAATTTCAAGCTAAGCTTTAAGTGTAAAAAAGGCTCACTTTAGAATTCTGCTGACGCGTCATCAGCAAATAGGTGGCGAGTGCACTGAAGGGGCGTTCTGAGCGTGGGCGCGTCATGCGCAGCAATGAAGCAAAGGCATTTCGTAGGGTCATATTCACACAGCATGTAATTCTACACCAATCTACTAAGCAATTCTTAATTTTCTGAATATATGAAAACAGTTTTTGATAATTAAAAAAGAAAAAGAAATTTAAAAAATTTTTAGTTTCAATTTACACTAAGAATTTCTTAATTACATAAAGCTCTAACACCCAAATTAGTTCAGTGTCTACACTTACAGCTGGGTGCATAATATAAAAATGTTTGTGAATTAGCGCAAAATATAGCCTCTGTACAGTCAATGGAGAGGATACTACAGAAATAACAGAATCCGTGACTGTCAGTTGTCCTCTTTGAAGGTCACAGAACGAAACCATCATTATAGATCACTTACCTTTTCCAGTAAGTAGCCAATGACTAAAAAGCCTTTTCCACCCAGCATCTGTTCTTGCATGGCTACCGAACTTTTAAGTAGTTCAACCAGGAATGCCAAAAGAGTAGCACTGCATGTAAAGTACAGATAATTCCATTATGTAATCATCAAACGCTGATTAGGAACATACTGTTCACGTTCAGTATTTTATTATTCCAAAACATAAAAACTAAATCCAAAGTTAGCCTCTATTTTGCTGACAACTATTATACCTTTTATTTTGCAATAGTATATTTTCTCACCAAGCATGAGAAAACTAGTGTTATCTATTTAAAATTAAATATCATAAAACACATTACTGTGTGGATTTTTTAATATTACAAGGCAAAACATCTAAGTTTACTTACACACATACATATTCCCTGCTTCAAGTAAATCTAACATGAGAAGCACACCCACAAATATGTCACTTCATTATATTAAAGACTTTATCATATTATTTCTTGGAAGAACATGCTATCTTAGAGAATTTTCAATATGTATACAAGATTGCTTTGGAAGAACACACCAACTTTTTAAACAAACTTTTCATTTAGACCTATTTTTCAAAAACAACTTATATTTTTGAAAAAATATCCAGAGAAATATGCAACATGTTAGTTATGTCCATATATGCCCTCAGGAAAAGTTCATGAGAGCAGAGAAAATAAATGATTGATGTAGTATTAAAATGAAAAGTGACAGTAACACAATAACACATAAAAGCACACACGGATATGTGCCAGACAAAAGTAAAATGCCTGACATGGCAATTCAATGAAGAAACAAAGAAAAATAAATGATTGCACTGAATTAAGCTCTGGCAATACTGCACTTCACAAAGTTACACAGAACAATTTTCAACCAGAAGCACTGATACATGACAGCATTCCTAGTTATAGCCTTACCATAGTTTAAAACAATAAATGACTATAAGCCAGACCTTACCAGCAATTAAAATAATATGTTTACAGTGCTTTATAAGGTATCCTAAATTGTCTATTTATAGTCACATGAATGGGTAAAGCCTCAAATTTCTAAATATACTTTAATACACAAGTATTCATTCCTACAAGAAATGAAGAAAATTTGCTAATGTGAAGAACTTGAAATTTTTTAAGGCCCCAAGATAATTAAAACTTATTCTAGCTCTTCTGGTTTCTATAAAAATGACAACACATTTCTCTGACAATGTGGCTATTACTGTTCAAATCAAGAATATAATTATAAAAATAATTAGCTACCAAATTATCATTATTGTAAAAATCAATAGTTTAATAGATTACATTTCAGCTAGAAAAAATATAGTATATTTGTAAATAAAATACTCATTACAGGAAATTAAAATTCAATTACATTACCTGGACCTATTACCTTTAAACCACAAAAACAAGTAAAAACAAGTATTACAAATCAATGACATTCTTTTACTTTGTCCTAAAAATCACAGGCAGACATTTACAGGAAAAACACAAATACCAAGGAATTCCTTGGGATTTTTTTAACTGTTTCTGTAAAAAAGAACAGCTATTAAAAACAATCTAGTCCATTTTAAATGAATGGTATCAATAGTCAAAGCCACCTCACCCACAACTGTGTTAAGTGCTATCACACGTGATACTTCTGTCTGGATGTCTGAGAAGAAAGAAGACGGCTACTGTACAGAGATCACACACTTTCCTGGTCTGCACGTGCCCGTCTGGCCTGCACCAGAGGCAGTGGTTTAGGAAGAAAGAAGACCCGAATCCTAAACAGCAGCCCTGTCGAAAAGCCCAGGAAAGCGTCACGGCAGTCCCTACGGCCCATGAAAAGATTCAAGAGGTGCGTCTCACCGTCAGTCACCCTCCTCTGCAGAGCCACAGACATTACAAGGATGCCATAGATTTTTTTTGTTTTTGGTTGGAAAGACAACTCTTTCTCAAACACCTAATGAATTAACTCAGACTTCTAAACACAGTGGAGTTTCATTACAAAATCAGAAATATTAATTTTATTATTCCAAAATCTTAACACATGACTAGGCTATCCATATAATTAATTGCACTTCAATTTTAACTGTGACAACAATTGAAAAGTCAAATTCATTCACTAACAAAAGTATTATTAATTTATACCTAAAACCCAACGCAATAGTAATACCATATCTTTTTAGGATCTTTAAAATAGGTATATTTGACATGGTAGACGTAATAATGAATAGATGGCTATCTTCGAAGAAGTACATTTTCAAACATAATTTAACAAACTTACCAGTAACTAAAATGCATCGGATTGCTGCAGGGCTCACAATAAACTTGCAAAATTCTGTGCACTGCCATACAAAATTTCTCTCCATTCTTGCCTATTTCCAACTCCCCTAGATACAAAGGCAAATATAAAGGATACTTCAGCCCATTCCTATATCTCCTACATGCCACTCCCTGTCTAGACACATCAGTTATTGTGCAGAGGGTCGAGATACATAGGGTAAATCACAGGCAGGCGTCTGTGTCAGCCAGAACTAGCACACGCAACAGAGAACATTCTCTTGAAAAGTATAGCAATACCTGAAACAAATGCTCACAGGAATTTTTACTTGATAGGCAGAAAGTGTGCTGATTTTTAACTCATGAAGTAAAACTCCTAAACTTTTCAATAGACATTGTAACATATGTTCCATAAGTAGCAATTCTATTTCAGAAACAGTTATTGGTTTTTAATTCTGTGTCCTTTTAAGGAAAATGACACTAATAATCTATAGGGTTATTTCTTAAAAATAATTACCATCTTCCAATGCTTAATAAACTTCAATTAAATTAGGAAATAATATTTATTTCAAGTGTCATACTTATAAAAGTCTAGATCTCAGGAAAACTAAAGAAAATAGTATAATAGTACCTTAATGACTTAGTGTATTTATTAGTTTCTCCAAACTCTCTGGTCCATATTATTAAAGAAAACCATGTCAGTTCTGGCCCACAAATACCTGGAAATTTTAATAACTACACATGAATATGACTAAATTGTTTCTAATAAAAATGCATACTACATTTAGGGTCCATTAAAATTTATATAAATATAGATTTTTACTTGATTTTAATATTACTTTATCCATTCTACTTTGTCCATTATTTTTTAAAATAGCTATGTAGATAAATCATGTAAATTTAACAAGTTTTATTATTTGAGGTACTTTATTATTTAAAGATGAAATATATCATATAGACCTAATTAATAACTGAAATGATTAATATTGAATTTATAACCTAAGCTCAGATCAAAACCAGTTATTAGAATACAGAAACGGGCTTTTCAATTTGCTTTGTACTGACGCAAGCAAGTACCTCAGCTAGATGAGCTGTTCAAATATATTAAGATAAATGGAATAATGTCAAAATTAAATATTTGCCCGGAGATTCAACAACTCACATTATAAAAGGATGTTTTCAATCTTAAAAAAAAATACTACAAGCAAATTAATTTTCAGAATAAATTCAGAAGTAGATTAAGTTATAATAAGATTTAAGGAACCAGTAGGGGGAAAAGAATCTTTTGACTTTTTCATCAAGTTTTATCTCTTAGGTAGCCTAATTTAGTATTGAGACACAGTGAAATCTTACAAAAGATTATTTAAATTATACAAAATATCTAATACCACAGTTTTATGCTATTTCTTTCACTGCAAAACTCTTCATAGGTGAGACGGATGATAGCAGGAATGAAACTGTAAAAGAAATCAACTCCAGTCCACACTCAAGATAAAGTCACACACAACACAATTTCCAGCGACACACACAAAGAAGTCTCACAATAAGTTAGTAGAGTTAAATTCCTTCACAGTTCAAAATTATCCTGGAAAGGCCTGAACCAAAAGGCCCTAACTCCGGGCACATCACCACCGTTGGACAATCCAGTCCTGAAGGTGCCTCCCCTCAGAAGACCGCTGTCCGCCTGCGGCCGTGTGCGAGGACCGGGCACCAACCGCCACATTCACCAGTTCAGCCAGGAGGTGGAGATAAATGCCCAAATAAGGAAAATACAGTCATGTGCAGAGTCAAATAAGGGAAACAGTGAAATGTGGCACCGTACAATGCAAGGACAGATGGGATACACCAGGGGACGCAAAGTCACTGCGCCTGCCCCTCGCTAGGAGCTCCCTCCTCCGTCAGTTCTACGTTTTCCTTCCGCCCGGTCGGGGGCAGCTGGCCTCAGACACTCAATCGCTGCCACTAGTGCGGCTATTTAAGAGAATGCTCTAAAGGTTCTATTAAATCTTTGTCAACTATGACACGCTCTGACCTTCCTTTGGTAACACATTTTTATTTTATATTTTATTTCTGACAAAAAGCGTCCACTGTAAAAGAAATAACTCTCAAAGCCTACCGCCAGTTTGCAATTTAACCCCAAATGACAACGGACACTTACAATGCTCTGAGTGCCCTAGTCACATCATGAAAACTTTTCTGGACATGTTAGAAGTGGCAGTACCACTAAAGTAACCGTGTATAATCTGGGGATACCTGAGTACTTGAGAAATTTGATGATATAACTTCCTAACTCCTAAGAAATACAAAATTTCAAAGAAAAAACACGGACGGGTTGTAACATGACGTCCAGTCCCCGGGCAGACCCCGACGCCTTCCAGGCCTCAGCGCCCACGGCAGGCCGGCCAGGGCCAGTGCCCGCTCCGGGGCTGCCTCCTACTGGCCACCAGCAGCAGTGAAAATGTCCCCTGGGAGTGCTGAAATTACCAGACAGACTGTAACTAAGTGTTTCAACGGCTGATCACACAGAAGGCTGACATAATTAGCTGACACCGGGCCTCACATACAGGGTGTCAGGGTGTGGCAAAAGGAGGTGCACAGTTGTGAGTACATGGAACACAGTTCACTCTTGTAGTGTTACTGTATTATTTTCCACATGAGTAACTGTAAACCTACCTCTGCATCACCCTGTATGTCCCGGGATTTTCTAATCTTTTTATAATTACTTTTCTTTTTAAAAATGATCTATCTCTACAGTAAAACTGACTTCTTTCTGTTGCATGTACGTACGTGTCAGTACAGTTCTGAGAATGGTAAGACATACAGACTTATATAACCCCACCAAAAT